ACTCAGAAGGCTGAGGCAGGAGGATCACTCCAAGTTCAAGGCCAGCCTGAGCTGCATAGTGAAAGCTTGTCTCAAAAAGATAAAAACAAACAAACAATAAAAAGTCCGTTTGGAAGAATATTAGTAATCTCAGCTTCTCAGGAGGTTGAGGGAGGAAGACGCAAATCTTAGGCCAGGCTTGGCAACTTAGTGAGACTCTTTCTTTTTTTTTTTTTTTGGTCTTTTTCACTTTTATCAGGACCAGGGATCGAACTCACGACTGCCTGCTTGCAAGGCAGGCGCTTATGCCGCTGAGCTAAATCCCCAGCCCCCCTTAGTGAGACTCTTGATTCAAAACAAAATATGGTATTTTTTTCCTCCTAAAATAACATATCCTGTTATCCCCGCACTCAGGAAACTGAGGCAAAGGAAGCACTGCAAGTTCGAGACCAGCCTGGACTACAAAGTGAGCCCAAGGCCAGCCTGAACTAGACAGAGAGATCCTGTCTCAAAAAGACAAAAAAAAAAAAAAAAAAAAAAAAAAAAAATATATATATATATATATATATATATATATATATACACACACACACACACACACACACACACACACACACACACATAATTTTATTTTAAAGAGAAAAAAAAATTATATATATGACCAGAGATGGAGCTCAGTGGCACAGCGCCTACCTGAGGTCCTGAGTTTGATTCTGAGTACTAAAAATAAATAAATAAAATAAAAATTCAAAAAAATATATATACAAGGTTGAAGATACAGTATAGGAGCAAAGCAACCTGGATTCAATCCTTGTTGCACGTGCGCACGCACACACACACACACACACCCTTCAGGAGAGATGATACCCTTGGGGAAGGAAGAGAACCAGAGGTGCTTCTGGGCTGCGGGCCAAGTTCTATTTCTAGCGCTGCATGGTAGTTAAACAAGTGTGTTTACTTTGAAATAATTCTTTCAGATGTACACTTATGATTTGTATACGTTTCTATGTGTGCTATATTTCAATTCATAAAAAGTTAAAGAATGAATACTGAGTTTTGTCAAATGCTTTCATAGCACCTATGAAAATAAAATTTTCATCAAAACTCCATTAATACAGTGTGGTAGACTGTGTCCAATCAAGAGATAAACCACACAACCAGTTAAACAGGCAGTTTACCATAAGGAGTTATTAACTATGCTAAAAGAGTAAGTGTGAAATATAAGAAAGTGCCATTGGGGGTCCTAGAGCTAACTGAAGAGAATCAATAAAGCAAAAGGCAAGACTTCACTGAAGGTTTGGTCCAGCTATCAGAGAACAGAGAATAAATAGAGAACTTCATTGGGTTAGCTGGTCTGGAGGTGCTGTACAAATAGAAAATCTCTGGGAAGTAGGTGGAGATGCCTGGTAAATTACAGTTGATAGCCAGGTGTGGTGGTATACACTTGTAAGCCCAGCACTCAGGAGGCTGAGGCAGGAGGTTGTCTGGAGTTCAAGGCCAGTTTGGACTCCATAGGAAGACCTTATCTCAAGAAGACAAAAAAAAATTATAATAAAGATACTAATTTTGAACAATTTTCTCATGTTGGAATAAATCTCATTTATAATTTTTTGGTATCCTCTGTTATTCTGTTTGTATTGTTGCTAATCTATAATTTGTGGCTTTATGTACATAGAAAAGTAGTAAAAACTTACTTTTGTGTCTTAATTCTGTAAACACCCCCGTGTACATCTTGTTTCTAATTACCTATCAGTTGTTATTTTTATTTTGCAAAAGTACAATTGCTTCACTTGTAAATAATTCTTTTTTACTGTTTTTATACCTTCCTCATTCTTAGCTAAGAGAGTTACTGTCTAGCTTGGGTCTTCAGACAGTCAACCTGGGTGCTGCACAAAGAATATAAAGAAGACAGCGAGGTAGCGAGAAGTCAATTAAGAGACCACCATGTAATGTAATGAAAGACAATGGTGACACAGGAAGGGACACGGGTGGACAAGATGACTTAGGGAAGAGGTGACATGGGGGTGATTACATAATTCATGATATAATTCAAAAGTGATGCCAGTAGGATTTCCTGAAGGGCTGGACGTGAGATAAGAGAAACAGAAGGGTCAAGTTTAACCCTGTTTTTATGCTACACAATGAGAAGGAGAAAGTTGACTACCACTGAGTGAAAGGGAGAGTCTAAAGATGGACCAGGTTTGGGGGAAAACACCAAGAGTTCAGTTTTGGACACAGTGAATCTAAGATTCATTAAATAAATGTCCAAAGAAGAAATCAATTCCTCTCTCAAACATGACTGACTGCCCAGTATTGCTATGATTAAGGACACAGAATGCCTGAGTATAGACTCTACTTTACTCAAGGAAATGATTTCCTTGACACGTAAGAAGGACAGAGAGCCGGGCTAACCCACGGCCGGCCAGGTTCCGAGAAACAACAGCCTCTTCGGAGACAGCGCCAAGAGCCCCCAATGCCCCGCCAGGACACTCCAGAGGGCTTCAGTGAACCCCACACAGCGGCTCACAGGAGTCCCACGAGAGGCAGGTTGGCAAGTAGGTTGCTGACCACGTTAAATAAACGTAAGTCTGAGGAAAAGAAAAACCGTCTCAACATCACGGTTCTGACAAAGCGGCCATGAAGAGTCTCAGGGAGGCTGGGCTACTGCAAAACAAAGGCTTTTGGATTTCACATCTGAACTCCAGAATCTTAATATTTTCTCTTTCCGTTCTCTTTTCTTCATTTTATTCTATCTTCTTTCATCCTTGTAAGAAAAGTCATAAAGAACAAAATCTTATGCAGATGGAGAAAATGAAGCATGTGATCAGTGTAATATGGAATAGATAGCCAAAATTACAATCAGCAGCTCTGACATCCTGGGCCAAATATAGAAGCACTTTCATACTAGCATGGATATAACAAAGACAATTATTTTTAATTACATATAATAATATGAAATATTTGCAAAAAACATCAATACTTCACCAGTAACAATGCTTTCTCAGTTACTGAAAATTACCAAGATTTGACCACTGCTATACATACAGTATACAAAATAATTTGGCTAAACTCAGAATAACCCACATTCTGCTTTGCTAGAAAATCCTTTCTTTTTGTTATATGTGACATCAGGGCTATATTTTTTGTTTTTATCAGCTGAAGATAATAAGAAGCAAAATGTTTCTATAGCCTTTCCTATGTATTTTACATATGGGCAATAAAATACATTACAAAACATTTTCCATTTTAAGTTTGTCATTTGGCAGAAAGTCTCCCACAGAGCTTAACTTATTATTATTATTTGCTACAGACTCTTCCTAAAAGCAAGAGACAGCCCATTTTCTCCAGATGAGTCATTAACTAAAGGCACAGGAGAATGAAGTGTTCCAGCTTGAAATACCAACAGCTAAATATAACCTCTTCCACAACATTAGAAAATTCAGGGCCTCTCTTTAATCAAAGAGCCATCTTAGAGGGTCACCTTAATAATCTGCATTTAGTTCACGAGGTGGTCGGCAAGAAGAAAAACCTAGAACACTGTTAAGGGTTTAAAAAAAAAGTACCCAGAATAAAAGGGAAAAGCCTCATCAATCATAAAAATGAAATTAATTTTTTCTCATTATTTATATAAAATCCTATTTCTTTCATAAAAACATTTAACTACTTAATATATGAATACTGGTCACAAATGCCAAAATTTGTCTAACAGTCCCTAGTGTAAAATGAAAGTTTTTTTTTCAGCCATTAAACAATTAAAAACAGTCACAAAGACACTTCATGTAGGGAGCAGCTGAGCCTCCTCTGGGGACCCCACTCCCTGCACAGTTTGCAGCACATTACGACTAGCCTTTAGTGAAAATAACAGTCAAATCATTCATTCATTCATGTCTTACTTATTTTTTCCATTGCTGGGCACCGAATTGAGCTACACACCAGTTCTTTTTAATTTCTATTTTAAGACAGAGTTTCACTAAGTCATTGGTTGCCCAAGCTAGACTCAAATTTTTGATCCTCCTGCCTCAGCCTCCCAGAATGCTGCAATCACAGGCATGTGCCAGCACATCCAATTTGTACATTTTATAAAAATTTTAAATCAAGCCAGGGATGGTGATACATGGGTATAAGCACACTTGGGAGACTAAGGCAGAAGAATGTCCACAAGTCTAAGATCAATTTGGGCCACAAAGTAAGTTTAAGGAAAGCCTGAACTACATAGGGAGACCTTGTCTCAACAAAACCAAAAAGACATTAAATCCACAATTTTTTTTCTGAATGCTTATTTTGGATATAAAAAACACTATCTGAACAGCCAGGGGTTGTGGTGCATTCCTATAATTCCAGCACCAAGGAGGCTGAGGCAAGAGGATCAAATAGAGTTTAAGGCGAGCCCATCTATATGATGAGTTCAAGACCAATCTGAATACACAGTGAAACCCTGTCTCAACCAAACAAACAAAACCCAATATCTGAAGTTAAGTTAGTACTGATGTACTTCCCAATTAACAGTAAGAGCCAGCAAGAGGCTTTTACAAACACAGTAAGTCAAAGTAAACAGAGAGGAAGAGTATATATCGGCAGTCTATCAAAAAGAAATTCAGAGACAGAGGGTGATTGCTTGAGGCCTTAGATTTAGTCAACCCTAAGGCCCAACATAAGCCCTATGTGTGTGAAAGAGTCTGGAGACTTGAGTGACTAAACTTATTCTTTAACCTAAGATATCTTGCCTGCCACTTGGAACCCAAAATCCTAAAGTAGTGTGAAAATATCTTAAGAGAGAGTTTGCTAATTGTCTGTACAGCTAAGGAAAGACATGAGTTTGCAGTAAACTATGACACCACACATTCTGCCTTTCCTTTCTCACAAGGGAGGGTTTTCTTGATGCTTATCATCAAAATAAGTTTTACTACAGTAGTTTAGAGTTAACTTTTTAAGAAAATAAAATGATAGCAATTTCCTTAGTACTGTAGCTATCTCTTTCAAAAATATAGTACCATTTTGTGGGTTTTTTGGTTTGTTTTGTCTTTTGGGTTTTTTTTTTTTTTTGTTTTTTTTTTTTTTTGGCCTTTTTGAAACAGGGTTTCAGGTGTGTTAGGACCTGAAATGCATGGCTGCATTTTAAAAAGATAAATTAGTTGAAAGAGAACACAGCATGGTAATATGAGTATTATAGTCATCGAATTACCAGTGATTTTAAGTTTTTTATTTAATCTTTATGTGTTTTCCAAATTCGGAACAAAAACACAGCATTCAAAACTAGAAAAAAACATGCTACTTGAAAAAATAAGGTACACTTAAAAAATAATTTTAACTTTCATCATGGTTCCAAGGATATCATTGGTTATGCCCAATTTTCATGTACTTTAGAGAAATGAAAGGCTTAGTCCAATTCAACAAATATTTACTATATGAAAAGCAAAGGGTCATGTCAAAACTGTCATTCATGCAAGAAGCCATATGAATAGTTTGTTTTATTTTTCAAAAAAAAAGTTTTGGTGGGATGTTTGAATCGCAACAAAGCTTAATCCAGGCTTTATGCCACATCATGGTTCAATTCAACAATACTGAGGATAAACTCTGAAGTATACAAGCTGTGGAATTCTGACCGTTTCCTAGATACTGACATGATTTTCAAAGTATCCACTATCACACGCAGTCAGCTGCATTACAGGTTTATAAAACATTGCTTGTTTTCTCATATAAATGCTTTCTAAAAATATTTTCAAACAAAATACTTTCCATGACTATTAATAAAAGTCAAATTATGCTGTCACCTATCATAGATGATATTTTCTACTGTATTACTATATAGCCCAACCTAATGAAGTATTTTTAGATAGTAAATTGTGGCAAAAATACAAGGAGACAGGCCAGGGATATAGCTCAGCAGCACAAGTCCTGCCTGGCAAGCACAAGGTCATGAGTTTGATCCTCAGTACTAAAACAAAAAAGAGATGTCCAGATATATGACTCTATAGCAAAGTTTTAAAACTTTACTTTTGTATATCATGTTCAGTTTTTTCCTTTGCCACAATGGATTTATATGATTTCTACTGAAAGCATCATTTAAAATTTCACAAAGCAATCATCTTGTCCTCACACATTTTCTATCAGTCATGTTTCACTGTTCCACAGGTTGATTTAACAATTTCAGTACTGAACCTTTCGTGATTACACCTCAAAATAATTAAACCAAAACGTTTCACATTAAATGTTTTCCCTAATAATCTCAAAATCTCTCAAGTATGCTTTGCATTTATGTCTAATAATTTTTAAAACAGCTGTACTCTCTTTGTTTGGGGCTTCCATATATAATGAACATGTAATATGATACTGTATTTGAAGGAACCGTATTTATAGAATGTATTTCTAAATCAAATAATGTATGTAAATGCAAATGACTTTGTACTCATTTTATGCAAAATGTATTTATAAAGCATATGAATATATTTTACACAATTTTTCTCTTCTACTCAGTTAACAGCACTGAGACATTTGCCATTTGTACACCTACCTTAGCTAACAGGATTCAACATTCTCATATGTCATGGTTACTTCTCCATTTCCTGTGATTCCTTGTTCTTCCGGCCAGCCCATTAATATCAATTTCCTTAAACCGTAGCTGAGTCATTCTTCCCTAGAGTTTTATGTTGAGCTATCATATCCACTCACTCCTGTGTATGTGCTGACCATTCACGAGTACATTCTTCTAAATTGGGACCTTTATCTTAAGGTTCAGGATAAATGCAGCCACTTACATTCAAACCTTGCCTTTTCAACTCCTAGCTATGTGACCATAAGCAGATCTCTGGGACTCAGTTTTCCTATCTGTAAAATGAAGGTACTATCAAGTAACTGCTTTGTGTTGGCATTTTGTGAGCATTAACTGTGCTAATACTGGCCTTAATGTATAAATGGTAGATCTGGTCTCTACTATATTATGAACCATACTATTTTCCCAGGCCAAGGTAACTGCAAATATCATTCTTTTTTTTTTTTTTTTTTTTCCATTTTTATCGGTACCAGGGATTGAACTCATGACCGCACATTTGCAAGGCAGGCGCTTATGCCGCTAAGCTAAATCCCCAGCCCCGCAAATATCATTCTTTATAAACCACAACAAAGAACACAAGTTTGCTGGATCTAACAAGATTATCAGTTTGTTTTCAAAACTAAAAGATAGGAAAAGATACTTGAAGCCATTTAAACTGAAGAGATTTAATTAAAGAGATAAGTCTTACAAAGTCTACTGTGCTCTGTCTTGCAGTACCCAAATTGTCCTGGGCCTTTGAGCATTCAACAAATCCTTGATAAATTAAAAAAAGTCTTAATTCCCACTGGGCCAAAGTAACACCCTTTCACAAACAGCTGGGAGACCACTTAGGGAGCAGTTTACACAAATACTTACTCAGTGCTTATTAAGAATATCCTGTATTTTAAAAAAAGAATGTCCAACATTATGTATCACCTTCACATTGTGACTGCACCCTGAGAAATCATTTCTCCCATTCACTTTTTTGACCACTAAATTCATTAATTCTACCTCCCAAAAGCCTTCAATTCTGCCTCTCTCCTCTTCAAAACCCACTGCCACACTCAAGACCTTCGTATTTCTTATTTGGTTTATACCAATAGTCTAATAGGTCTTTTTTTACTGCATAAAAGTTTCTTCCAATCTATTCTCCACATTGTATAATCAAATAACTCTTCTACTTAAAATGATTCTCACCATTTACTATGATTCTAAGCTTCTCAGCACTGCGTATGAGATGGCCTGGCTTAATGCCTTTATAGGTAAGCTACTAAATCGCTTTCCTTCTCCCAACTGATATGGCTTTCCCATAAAAGGTCTCCATACTTTTGTTAAAGACTGTTTACAAGCACAACTACGCCCTACACCCATTTCCTACTGGGTTATCACTTTTGCGTAAGTTCCTAATAGTCTTAAAATATCCAGTTAAGGCAACAGCCTCTCTGTGAAGCCTATGCTGCCAATCTTCCAACTCTAAAGTAGATATTTCTTCTATAATTGCTTGTGTCAACATGTCTCCCAAAGCCTCAAGCTCTCATAGGTGCAGCTTTAGGAAGGTGACTGGATCGTGGGGCCACAACCCTCATCAGTGGTTTAGTCCATGGATAACTTACAGCTAACGGTGATGTTGGGAAGTGGAGTCTGGTGGGGAGGAAGTGGGTCACAGTGGGTGTGGCCTGGAAGGGTCCTTTGCCCTCCTCCTCCCTTGATCCCTCTCTCTGTGTTTAATGGCTGCCGCATCGTGAGCTCTTTCTCCTCTGCCATGCTGCCCTGCCCTGGAGCCAGGAAACTATGGACTGAAACCTCTTCAAACTGTGAACCAAAATAAACCTTTGTTCCTTACAGTTGTGGACGTCAGGTTGTATCTCAGTGACAAGAAAGAAACTAAGATACTACCTCTGTGCTCTCTGAGGTCCCCTTAACCTGTATCCTCACACACCTTTGACTACTGAATCAATGTATGACCACTCTGAGACTTCATTTGCTAATCTGTACAGTGGCTAATAATATCTATGCTGAAGAACAATTAGCAGGATAATACATGAAGCGGCTAGAACCTAAAAAAAGTTCTAGCAAATGACAACTGCGTAGTATCATTAATATTTTTCTCAAAGGAAAGTATCAACATTTATTTTTGTAATTCCAGGAGCTAATCTAGTACTTGGCAAAAAAAAAAAGTTATACATTTGTAAAATCAATAAATCCCTATTTCTGAAAGATGATTCCTACAGCACGATACAGGGTAGATTACAAGTCCTTAAAAAGATCTTTTAAGATACCAGAAGGAAGGAAAAGATCATGTTCAGGGTGTTTTTAAAAGCAAATACAGGCTAATACATAGACCCAGAAGATTTGGCACCTCATACTGAAGATCACTATTGAAAGGAGCGTCTGTTAGTTGATGTGACAGGAGTCAGGCATCCAGTTTCTCATGTTTGATTGTAACAGAAAACTGGAGAAAGAGAGCCAGAGGAGGAACGGAGCCAGAGAGAGCGCTATGGCACTTAAGGCGAAACAGGAAGATGAGGGCACCAGAGATGAAATAAAAAAGAAGGGTAAGATCTGAGAGCCATTTCAGAAGGCAGTAAGAAACGGTAAGACAGGCAGTGAGCACGTGCCTGTAACCCTGGCTCAGTGGGAGGCTGAGGCAGGAGGATCACAAGTTTGAATCCCACCTGGGCAACTTAGCAAGACTCTCAAAATACAAAAATAAAATGAGCTGGAGACTTAGGTCAGTGTGAAGGCCCTGGGTTCAATCCCTAGTACACAAAGGAGGAAGGGCACTGGTAAACAACCTGATTATGAAGGTTTAAGAGTAGGTCGCAAAGCTGGCCAAACAAAGCTGGGAGGACAAAATAAGTTAATTGGATTAACAAGTCCAGAAGCAACATGCACACTTACACTGACCCAGATTAAGAAACTGACAAGGTCAAGGGAGAAAATTGAGAGTAAATGACAGGATGCTCCTGAAATAAATTACTGCATCACTCGGGTTGGGTGTAAACAGAGTAAAGTGAAGCTAGGAAGGAGCTAAAAAGGACATTTTTAATAAATATTCTGGGTGGGGTTAGGCATAGAACAGGGTCATAAAATGGGGTGCTCACCAGGCATGGTGGCACATACCTGTAATCCCAGCAACTGAGATTCTGCGGCATATGTATCACCGAAAGTTCCAGGGAATACATGACAAGATCTTATCTCAGTAAATTAAACAGCCAGGGATGGTGGCATACACCTGTAACCCCAGCACTCGAGAAACTGAGGCAGGACAATCAGTTTAAGCCCAGCCTGGACTATACAGGGAAGTTCAAGGCCAGCATAAGCTACATAGTGAAACCTGTCTCCATAAGAAGTAAATAAATGGAGTGACCAAATGGAATGGAAATAAAGGTAATTATAATGGAAGAGTCCAAGGTAATGTGATATCTGGTACTGGAAATTTCATCTACATGAGAACAACTAACCAGCTAGTACAAAACAGAATATGTGTACAGTAAGTGCCACTGTTTTCTAGGAACATGGTGGGAACTAAAAAGGTACACAGTGAAGAACTCCCAAAGCTTCCTAACACTCTCGTAGGTATTAGCTTTACTGACTCAATAGGCCGGCTGAATGCTGCTTCTGCTCCACGAAGTCAGAACTTGGCACTGTCTTCCAGAGCAAGTCCCTAACTATGCTCCGGTATTTTCTCAAAAGATCCTCGACAGTTTGTCACACCCAGAAGAGTGCATTCTACACCAGGTTTTTACATGAATTGTAAATTAAAACTTAGGGCCAAACACCTACTTTTGTCATAATTTTATGAAGGAGGCATGATTCAAATGGCCATGAGAATGCCTGCAAAAATACATGTTTTTGAGGAAAATTCAGCTGTTCTCATCAGCATGCCACGCCAATGCTTATTCTTATTACTACATGCAGCTTTAAAAGCAACAAAACAATTTCTTTATTAAGGTGGTTAAATCCAACAAAGAAATAAAACTAAATCTTATAACTATTAAAAAGCTTAAGGGAATTATTACATTTTATGGCTATTCATAACATTTTAGTACATTTTAAATGATCCCGCTACAGCGTCTTTTCATAAGTACTTTAGTGTCACCATGCAGTTTTAATCCATATGCTTAAGCCCCTTTCACAGTTTACAGGAACAAAGCAGTTTTGATTCATAAACAAAGCCCTGCAGTCAAATACGCTCATGAGGTATTAATTTACAACCTCATCTGTGATCAGTTAAACTGCATGTGAAATCTTAAACATCCTTAAAAAGCTCACCACAAATAGTTCAATAGGAGATTTTTTGGTAACATTACTTTAACAAAAAACATGTAAGATTAAATTCTATTGTAAAATAAAACCAAATGCCACTTGCTTTTAAGGATAACCCACTAACAAAACAATCTTTTAAACTGTCACCTTTTGCATCTGAAATATTAATTAAAAATGCAACACCAGTATCAAAAACATGTGCTTCATACAATTTGGCAAAGGAGTCATAGATAAAAAAGAAAACCAACTTCATAGAGAAAATGTGTGTATTTCAGCAAATAGAATTTTTCTTTAATCAGTTATAGGAGTCAGATTTATTAAAGTGTCAGGTCAATCTAAATCACATTAAAACAAAAGGTTAAAATCATCATTTTTACCAAGCAACTAAAAAGGTGTATACAAATTATGGACAAAGACACAATAATGAAAGAACATGCCATAAATTTTCAATTCAGTATATTTTAATGAAAAACAAGAATTATCAATTTCTCTAAAGTTTATACTTTTGATCTTCATACTTATATAATCTAAACTTTACAATGTTTACCTAGGGTTTCTTTTTAGCCAGATATGAGCAGTATTTATTTTGATTGGTTTTTCTCAGCCAATCAGACAATTATTATCTCACAGGAGAAAATGTTCAGACCACAGCTAGTGGTTTAAAATCTCATCACAGATCTAACTCCCTTCCCAATTCTCCTGTGCCAACCTTGGTCTGCTGTCTTTTGTCCTCTAATGGTTTCAAAACAGCTATACTAGTTTATAAGCATGACTTTATATAATATGTGAAGATCAGAACCAAGTCTGTCTCCTTGGAACTATTTACAAAGAAGAGGAGGAAGAACAGGAGGAGGAGGAGGAAGATAAAAGAAAAGGACAAGTTTCTCAGTGAATTTGCTCTTCAATCTTATTGGCCACTCATTATTAGATGATGAACAAAGGGAATAAAATAACCATGATTGGGGTAAAGTGATTCAGAATTAGTCCCTGAAAGTAAAGAAGAACACAGAACCCAATAAAGAACATAACTTCCATCTAAAACTAAGATGTCAAATCAACAGCATCAAAAGTAAAGCATCAACATTATTTTCACACAATGCAATAATAATACAACTAAATTTTCATTAAATGCTTCAAATGAATATTATACAGGGCTGGGGATACAGCTCAGAGGCACAGTACCTGCCTGGCAAGTGTGAGGTTGTGAGTTTGATCCCCAGTACTGAAAAGAAAAAGAAAGTAAAAAGAAAAGAAAAAAAAATCACACATGTAACCTTTAATGTCTCAATTCTGCTTACATGCATATGCATCTCATTTGAAGGCTTAATTTTCTAACTAAATTAAGACAAAATAAAAGCTGTAATTCAAGATACATGCCAAACTTCCAGTGAAAACAAATGATTCAACACATGTGTGAATGTCTATTTCCTCCAGAACTCTCACTCTCAATAAAGTGACTCTCAGGGACAAGAAGAACAAAAAAGGAGACGACAGTAACACGGATACCGCAGTGCAGGGTGAGGAGCTGGGACTCACTCCACAGACTGCAGGAAGCTGAATCCTGAACAGCAGTGCAGAAAGGCACAAGCAAGCCGGGAAGCAAACTTACACTGCCGCACCCCAAAAAGTAGTACACGGTGGCATTATAGATCTCCAGGAATGGGAGCGAAGACAGGGCACAGAAGCTGAGAAAAACCAAAAATTTTCAAGAAGCAGCCAGACTCCGAGAGCCTCTCCGTACTTCCCACACAGTCCGCCCCTTTGCATCAAGGCCAAAACCCCAGGGCTACTTTCTAGAGGGGAAAACTGAGAACTGGAAAATACACTGATCATACGAGGGCAGAAAGAAATTCAACAAACCACAATTTGAGATTTTCCAATTTTATTCTCCACGTTGGTTCCTAGAAGGTAGGGAGTTAGAAATGATACCTTCCCTAAATCGTTAAATTATTCCAGACAGTAGTTTCAAAATGAGATTGGCAGCATCCTAAATTAAGATACAACTCTGTTCTTCTCAGTCCCTGCATGGAATTGAAGTACTTAAGATTTTAGTGATCATATTCTTCTCTTTGGCTACTAGTTTTATAAAACCAGCTTATTAAAGTGGGCATTCTGAGTGGGAAGCCCTCCCAGGCCTCAGCACTGTGTCTCATTTTTGTTTTTGTCAAAACTCCCCCTGCATTTTCCAAGCGATGCTCCACTGGCTTCCAGATTTTCAGTGTTGCTGTTATAAAATCTGCTGCCATTCTGAGTTTTGATCATTACTGGAAGCTGAATTTTTTTTTTTCTACAAATGTGTTCAGGATACTTTCTTTTTCCTAACAATACCTGGTATGGGTCAATTTTCATAACCTTTAGTGTGTACACTGATGGTAGGCTTTTTTCTTCCTCATACTGGAATTCACACACAAATCAAGGATAGATAAAACCGCATCTTCCTTTTAGTAAAATTAAGAAACAAATAGTCAGCAGGTATTGTAAACTAATGAAGATAGAGTAGTCAACAATGGCATCGAACAATTACAAATATTTGCTGTAAGCTCCGCTAAAAGCAACGTAGCAGTAAGAAGAAAAGCATAAAATGCAACAGGACGATCCAATAGAAGAAATTCAGAAAGAATCTGTAAGAATATACTTTCTGAAAATACATTATGGAATGTATAACTGTATCATTGATTTTCTAAGTTATCCATAAAACAAGGATGCCCACTATTACCATTTTTACCTAACACCATATTGAAATATTAGCCAATACCATTAAACAAAAGGAAGCAAATTAGAGTTAAAAACATTGGAAATTAAGAGGGAAATGCATTACTACTTGAAGCTTATTGCATCGCTTTAAAAAATTTTTTTTAATTAACTGAACCTACTAGCAGATGGGTAAACATATACGAAATGTTAGTAGTACTTCTGGCCAGGTGCAGTGGTGCACACCTGTAACCCATTACTTCAGAGGCTAAGCGAGAGGATCACAAGTCTCAGGCCAGCCTCGAGTACATAATGAGTTCAAGGCCAGCCTGAACTGCATAGTGAGACCCTGTCTAAAACAAAAGCAAGGCCAGGAGTGGTGGTGCAAGCCTGTAATCCCAGCATGGGAGGCTGAGGCAGAAGGATCACTGTGAGTTCCAGACTAGTATGGGCTACAAAGTGAGTTCAAGACCAACCTGAACCACAAAGTGAGACACTGTTTCAACAAAGCAAAACATACATTTTGATTCACAAATACACTTTTTAAAAAGATAAACTTACTTTTTTAACTATAAGATTTGCAATGTATAAAACTAAACTGAAATCTAGGCCAGTGCTCTAGCATTGAGTTCACTCCCAGCCCTACCTTAGGTTAATTTTTAAAAATTTTTTATCTGTCAGTACATATACACAGTACATCATGTTTACATTCTTTGCAGGAAGCTGGTTCGTGTACATAACAGATCTTAATTCTTTTTCCATCCCTTTCCCTTCCCTCCCTCCCCTCCACTCATCTCTTGATCCCTTCCCTTTGAATTCTGAACTTTAACATAATCCCCCCATGAAAGCAATAGTTTCTGTTTCTGTGGAATGGATCTGTCAGATAACAGAACATGATGAAATGCTGGAATAAACAGAAAAACAGTTCAATTCAAAATAAAACTATTATAATAATCCAGTAATTAAATTTGTACATAAAATTTAAAAACCACACCAATGAAAATATAAAAGAAATTCCACAGGTAAACCAGAATAAGCATAAAAATTTAGTTCCTAACATATGGTAACAGTGATAACTTAAGATAATATGGAAGAAAAAAGAGTTGACGATAAACAGTATAGAACAACAAGATGAATAGCTGACTGTCAAAAATAAAGTAAAAGGATAAATGAGTGGGATATTTAACATTTTAAAAATGCATTTAGAAATCTTAAAAGAAACAATGCGTTCAATTATATAACAATAAAAATTATCCATGGCAAAAATCATTGAAACAAACATCCAGGGCTGGGGATGTACTTCAGTGGTAGAATACTTGCTTAGCAAGCACAAAAAAACAAAAATTCAAACTACAATCTTGTAAAAAGGTTTGTGAGTCATGTCATAGACAAATGGCTTATATTCCTAACATATAACAAAAATTCCCAGAAATCACTAGAATAATAATCCCCTAAAAAAGAAAAAGTTGCACAGAGGTAAGATATTAGCAGACATTCTGCAGAAAAGAGAAAAGCAAGTGATTTTTTAAAAAAAGATCCTCAGGACTGGGGACATAGTTTAGTGACACAGCACCTACCTGGTAAGCACTAGGTCATGAGTTCAATTCCCAGTACTAAAATAAATATTAAAAAAAAAAAAAAAGAAGACCCTCAGCTGGTACAGTGACACATGCCTGTAATCTCAGCATTCTAGGAGGCTGAGGCAGAAAGGAGGCCAGGGTTCATAGCTAGTACTGGTTAAAAACAAAAAAACAAAAGCCAATCACATAATGACGTTTTGAATAAACAGACTTCAGCACCCACCAATTAAAGAACTCATGTTTTTATCAAACACAAATAAAAAAGTACACAAACTAATCAGGTATTAAAAAATTAAATGTTTTCTTTCAATTTATAAGCACAGATATCACATGCCTCGTTCTTAAAAAATATGAGATGAAATTTTAAAAACAACTTTTTATTTTTATTTATTTATTTTATTTTTATTATTTATTTATGTAGGTCTTGCTATGTAGTTCCAGCAGGCCTTGAACTCACTGTGTAACCCAGGCTGGCCTCAAACTCACAGCGACCCTCCTGCTTCAGTCTCCCACATGCTAAAATTACAGGTGTGAGCCACCACACCCAGCTTAGAAACTGCTGGGGACCACAATTCAGTGCCTGGCTTTGCATATTTCCCTGTGGGATGAAAGGAAGGACTGAGATTGTTTGTATCACCCATCTGGGATTTCCCATCAGACTCTTCCAAGCATAGGATCATCTACGCCTTCTTAAATCATCACAGGATTATACTCTGTCAAGCTACTTCAAACATAAAATTATCTACACCCTCTGGAGTCAGAGTCTTTGGATGAATTGTAATCCTGTGCTGGCCCCACCTATCACTGTATAGACCAAATAAATAGTGGCTGTTTTGGGAGTGGAGAGGTCAAACCCAGAGACATTGACTTCCCAGCCACTGCTGGAATATGATACTTGTCTCTGTTTTTTATTTTTTTCGCGACATTCTTGAGACTGACAATCGGGACTCTTGGCTGGGTTCCCAATAAAAAACAATTTTTTAGAATTACATATTTTAAAAAAAATCCCAAATAATTAATGGGCTCAAAAGAAATAACGAAATTAAAAATACTTAGAAATGAGTAATTGAAACATTTGTCTCCCAAAATCTGGATTACACACAGAGTTGTGAAGAAAATGGAAAACCTTAACTGTTTGCCTTAGGAGGGCAAAAGACTACAAATGAGCTGAGTGGTCACATTAAGATATTAGAAAAGAAAAACATAAATCAAAAAACATAAAAGGAGATGGGGAAAAATCAATGAAATAGAAAGCAAAGGTATAATAAAGTTCTACGCTTTTAAAAACACACATACAACTACAGACACAGTGGTGATTGAACACGTAAAAAGATCTTTGGCCGCTAGTCAGGAAGCAACTGGGAACTTCAGTCTTAGAACTACACATAACTAAATCCAGCCAACAACCTGCATAAGCTTGAAAACATTCATCCCTAGAGTCCCGAGTAAAGAACACAATCTGCCAGCATCATGATTTCAGTCTCATGAAACGTGGTGAAGGACACAGTGGATATGCCTTAGTGCCTCAGGGGCCCGATGGGGGAGGACCTCAAGTTCAAGGCTATCTGGGCAACTTAGTGAGACCTCATCTCATGAAAAAAATTGGGGGTCCCAGAGCAGAGAACTGGCTCAGTGAGATACACTATGACAGATCTATAAACTATGAGATCATAAAAGGTACGTCTGGAAGCTCAGTTTGTAGCAATTTGTTATGGTGGCAACAGAAAACTAATCCATTTTCCCTGCTAAGTGTTACCAGCAAGCTTTTACTATCCCAGGATCCTATCATCCCCCTTGCCCTGCGGAGTCTGCTTTTATAAACCATCTTCTACCATCAGCCTCCAACTCCAGGGAGCAGCCACTACTGAGCCGCCAGGATGTGGAATTTTGCCCTCTGAACCACTGCCTCCCAGTTAAGCAACACCTGACTACTGTGGACTTTTAATTCTGATCACTATTGAAGTCAAATCTATGACAAAGCAGTTAAAACCCTGGCAAAGGCTGTTAGAGCTCGTTCTTTTGAGACACAGTCTTGTTATGTAGTGTAGGCTAACCCTGCACTCACAGCAGTGTTCCTGCCTCAGCGTCCTGAGTGCTGGGATTATAGGCATGTGCCCAGCTTGGAGCTGGTTCTCATGTACCAGGTTCTTAGAAGCAAAGGTTCTTAAAAGCATGGAAAAAGTGATGGCCGGTATTAAATGACGTGACACTCGGGCAAAGCAAGCCAACTTCTGTAAGTGTAAGACTTTACACCTAACTGACTGGAATTACACACGTATGCCCTAGAACTTACCTATCACAACAAAGAGCAGTAAAACACTACCATTTGGGGATTATCAAATTAAGTAAATATAATACTATTTTTGACTATAATTCAAATAAAAAAATAAAGCACATTTACAATGCCTTCATCAGGCAGATTTTAAATATAGTCTTCCTTCTTTCTTTATATAATAGGAGTTAGGTTCCTTCGTGTACCAGCCATGTGGCCGGAATGGGATGCAGCTCCCAACTTTAAGGGGTTTCCACCGTAGCTGATGGAAATGACAGTAAAATCAGAAAACAAGCTGCATCAGCTGGTACGTAAGTGCTGTGAGACGGTGTCAGCTGGGAAATGAAATAAGTGTATCTTAAACCCAGGACGCTGGTGCCGGCCTGTAATTTCAGCCCTCTGAGAGGCTGAGGCAAGAGGACTGTGAGTTGGAGCCAGCCTGGGAAACCTAGTAAGAGGCTGTCTAAAAAATAAAAATTAGGCTGGGGATGTAGCTCAATGCAAAGGCACTGGGTTCAATCCCTGGTACTGGAGGAAAAAGAAATTCAAAGAACAGCACTACTGCAGCTCTGTGATTAAAGATGCTCAGATAGGAGGTCACAATGTCAACAGTCACGATCAACCAGCCTTTCTACAGCGGCTGTGTATGGGGAGATTGAGACCGACTGCTGATATCAAATCTTTTCGGATCCTGCCAGCAACCAATACTGCTTCCCTACCATTTTGTTCTACTGCTCCTGTGTTATAAAAGTACTAAGTCTATATTTTTATAGAAATTAATTAGAAGAAATAGAAATGAGTGAATACATTTCTTGTATCCCTTATGAGGAAAATTAATTTTACAGTAACATTCAGTAAAGCAAGATATTTAGCAACACTTCCCCTTTATGCAAATAACTACATATATTTTGACTGAGTCACATTAAAGACAAGTAAACAAATCATCCACACATCATAACACAAGTATACTCAGAATAATTAAGGTTTCCCTACATTTAAATGCCTGCAAATAATTTAGTACCAGTGGATTTGTAGTGCAGTTGATTTCTACACAAAAAAAGCAGTATTTATTTGCCTGACATATCAATGGGAAGTTTAAGCTAATATAAAAATGTAAAATGGCTTTGCCAAACCAAATGTAGTACTGTAATTATAATTTTGATGCACTATTAGAAAGAAAAAAGCAATACATTTAAAAGGAAAATTGCCTTAAAATATACCTAACTAAAAATGTAGAATACAGAGAGCTTGAATCCCTAAGCATGAAAACTTAAGTGGCTTCAGCGCTTAATCAATAGTGTTAGAGCTGAAATTTCCACATTAGGACTGACACTTAATTACTGCCAAATCTAAGTGAGGTCTATTCTGTCTCCAAGCCTCGGTTGAACAACTGCCAATTCGGAGGCATCAAAACCCCCACAACGTGACAGTGAGATAAATATCTGTGATACCAAGAAAAATTCTCAATACAGAAGGCCCTGCTTAGAAGTAGGTTCCGTTCTTTTTTTTCCTTGAAATAAAGTGACCAGTCCCTATCACACTCCTGCCAAATAACGACTACATTGCTGTTCTCCACTCCTAACTCACTGTTCTAGGAATTTCGCTTGGCTTTTTTCGCCCTAAGTATTCCAATTTTGTCTATATTAAAGCTGGTCATAAGAAATAACTGTTTTCTTCTATATGATGTCTTCACACGTGCCAAAATAAACTCTCCAGCAGCTGTGGCGCCCGCAATGGCTGCTTTGCCCCTCTGGCGGCACCGCATTTTTAAGGGCCTTCTGCCCACATAATTATCTCTGCGGAAGACAAGTTTGACCAGCAGTGTGTACATTCTTACGGAGCCTTTAAATTCTCAGATTCATGGTCTTTTAACATAAGATCAACAAGACATCTGATATGGATGCCCAGGCCCTGCTATAAATCCAAAGGAATTTCCACCAGTGTCTCTCAGGGATTATGTTCCATCACGCAGGCCGGCAGCTCTCCGATATGGTACCAGGACCAAAGAGTCCTCAAAGCCCTTTCAGAGACTCCAAGAAGTTAAAGGCATTTGGTTTTTCTTTTTTACAATTTTATTCTTTAACGTGGAGTTTCACAGTCTACCATGTAATGATAGCATTCCGGTAGGTAACGGAATGGATGCTTGTGTTGTTCTCAGCTTTTCAAGGTTTGGCTTTTGTTTTCCTTTAAGAAATTTTAAGGGAATCTTTGATCCCTGGTACCGATAAAAAGGAAAAAAAAAGACAAAAAAAAAATTAAAAATTAAAAAAAAGGGGCTGGGGATTTAGCTCGGCGGCATAAGCGCCTGCCTTGCAAGCAGGCAGTCAGGAGTTCGATCCCTGGTACCAATAAAAAGGAAAAAAAATGACAAAAAAAGAATAAAATAAAAAAAAATAAACGAAATTTTAAGGGAATCGGTCTAGAGTGTCATGATGCGTGTTTCCACGGATTAACTCAGTGTGTTCTTAGCAGCAGCCGCTGCTGTGTGTGTGTGTGTGTGTGTGTGTGTGTGTGAGGCCTTATTTCGCTCATGTATATTTCAAACAAAACAAAATAAAAAACTTCAATAGATTGAATGCAGAAACAGGTGAGAATCCAGCTGTCTTCTATGAAGTAAGACATTAAAGAGATCTGCAAACCCGTAAAACAGTACCACTATTTTTACTATGTTGTTGTTGTTGTTGTTTGGGAAAGCAGTTATTTTCACCAAAAAAGAGTGTGCTTGTATTAATATATGTCGGCCTTATTATAGCTATTTTTAAATATAGCTGTTAAAAATAGTGTTAAATATTCTTAACTGTCTTTCTTTTAATTTCTGAGATGTCAAAAGACATAACCCGCTAAAAGAACACCTCGCCGGGTCACAGGCACACTACTGCTCACGAGTGCAGCCGTTTGCCTGTCCTTCCAGACCCTTCCTCCGAGTGAACAAATCAAACTCTCCCTGCTTTTAATTACCATCAGAAGAGATTTCTATCTCTTCTCCTTGTTAGCATCTCATATTCTTACTGCCTATATACCTGTGTAACATGATTTCCCTAAAGATAAATTACAACTGAAACACAAACAAAGCACACACAGGGCAAAAATCAAACACAATACTAAGGAGGGAACGATTGAACACATCGTGTCTCCTGCGGCTTCATCTGTGTCTATAAAATGTTATATGGTGGAAATTAAGGAAAAGAACTTTTTGCACTCTGCATTAGTACTTCTCATTTCTGAATGAGACACTACTATAACACAGAGTATAGCGAACTAGATTCAGATAGCCAGAAGTCAAGTAATGATGAACTACTATATTATTTTAAGGAAAATAATTAGTTCTACTCAATCGTTATCCAGAGTTTCATTGAGTTGTTAATTATTAGAAATGTGAGTTACTAAATCTATAATGTTTACATACTTTAAAAGCCATTATGGAGGCTTTTTTTCTTGACTGCACACCAGTTAACCTAAATGGATTATAAAAGCCTTATACTTGGTGAGGATAAAATATTATGATGAATACAAGTAATATTTGCTAATGAAGATGAATGGGAACTGAAAAATTATTGTTACATTTAAAATACATTTCTGAGTGCTATACACAGCTATGAAGAACTTTAATTAAAAAACAAGTTAAAACATACTTAATCATTCATCCTTCTCCCGTGCTGCCAACTTCCTACATTCTTCAAACACATGAAGCAGTTTATATTATTTCCCCAAGCAATAAACCCATTTATCATAATTTCACTATATTTATTACTAGTCTTTAAAGACAATTTATATTTCTCAACAAAGATTAATTACAAAAACCTTTCAGAAGCCAAATCTATAAAGTATAAAAATACAAATAAGTCAGAAATAGGCCAGAATCTACCAACTGTCGTTTGAAGCACTAAGTTAGTAAATTAAATTGATAATCTTTAATTGACCATGATGAGTTTACGTTTGTGACATTCACAGACTGTAGACTAATTTGAGACACACAGCAAGCCTGATAAGATCCAAAAGCGTCTGGTCGGTCACCCTGCTTGTAAGTGAACCGACAATTCTGGGCGATCCGATAATGCCAGGCAGCAGGCCAGGTGTACCAACAGGCGTCACATTGCCAATATTGCCAACGAGGAAGCGGATGTGGAGAACCATACAACTAATTAGTAGCAGAGATAAGATTCAAACAAAACAGTTTAAAACAAAAGCAAATTCTAGTGACATAAAACTAAAGGAATGAAAACTTTCTTAGAGAAGTGAGATATTAATTCCTGACTCTGCTTTATTCCCGTAACATGATCCAAATTGGCTTTTAGAATCCATCGTTTCAACACTTCATCCATATGCGTCCACTGGTGTAAACTGGATCTCCGATTGTGGGATTAGGAAGGCAGCCCGAGCCAGCCAGACAGACAGACCTAGCGTGCCCCAGTGAGCAGCTCTTCTGGAGCCTTGAGAACAGACAGGAAGAAGATGAAATAAGCCTTCAGCTGAGGACAGCAACCCACCCGGTGTGCAACAGAACCGATACCAAGGAAAACGGCTAGTAGTAACATCATTCGAATGACTGGCTTCTCCTGAAGTTAGTCATGCCTAGATTTTCAGTTCTTTGACCAAAAATATTTCCATTCGCTCAAGCCCATTTAAGGTTTCTCTCACTTGAACAAACGGGTGTATCAACAAAACTCTAACAGTTAAATCAGTGGTGGTGGACCTGTGGCACACGTGCCACGGCGGGCTCTTTGTTATCTTCAAAAGCTCTTAGAGGTTTGCCATCACTCGTCTAAATTATCTCCACAAATTAAATAATGGATTGAGTCATTCCCAGTCTGGAATCCTGAAGTGACAGGAATCAAGGAACCTTTTCTTGTTTCTTTTTTTTTTTTTTTTTTTGTCTTTTTCCTTTTTATCGGTACCGGGGATCGAACTCACGACTGCCTGCTTGCAAGGCAGGCGCTTATGCCGCTGAGCTAAATCCCCAACCCCCAAAGGAACCTTTTCTAGGATTTCAGAAAGTTAAATGGAACCGTACACCCACCTAGGGTAAGGACACTCAAGCTCATTAAAACATCAAGTTTCTTCTGACTGAATCACTTCGATATGAAAGCTTCGACTATCTTGTTTTAATGAATTCTGAATATAAATGTATTTATATATAATCTTTAAAATTAAAAAGGAATGGATTGCTATATTTACAATATAGTTCATTTGGTGGACAAACTGCCTTAAAACACAAATCTCAATAGAAATTCTTCAAAATGATCATTAGAGGAGACTATCCAGAACTACAATATTACTTTGAATTATAACCAATAAAACAATGCACAAATTTGCCTGATTAAACCCTTGATTTGTGACTGCCTTTTTCCACTTTTCTGCCCTACAGCTTCTCAGCCTGAGAATTCTAAGAAGCAGACTAGGGTAATGGCGCCACCTAGTGTTCCTTAGCTGTTACTACCTGACTCGTGGTCTGACTTTGCAGGAAGGACACACCACTTGGACTCTGCTCTGTTCCAAGTTTTTCAAAAGCCATTTCTTTCTAATTCACTTGTACAGATATATCTTGCTAAATCTCCTCCCTCATCCCTCTCTTACCAACTGTAAATTGACTTTAGGAATAACTACTTAAAATGTCCTTGACCTTTGCCAAGTAGTGGACGCTTAACCTACATTCTCATTGCAAGCACTCTGTAAAACTAACACTCTTAAGTGCCCTCCTTCAGGGTGCTTTAAATCACAGATCACTGGGCAGGCAGTGTGACTCCAACACCCATTTACTTAATTACTACCCACAGACCCAGGCTACTTTCTTAAAAAATTCTTTTTATTCTACAGTCAAACCAGAAATCTAATTTACAAAATTAGTGGCAAATGAATCAGCTATATCTCTGAACAAATGGCACTAAATATAATAAAGATTTTATTTGAAAAAATTAGGTTCAATTCACCACTTGAAAGTGTATGAAAGTTCTGATTTTCAAAAGTTTATTAATTTCTGCTTACTCTTTGGTAGTAATTAAGCCCAGTTTTTCCCAAATACTACCACAGAAATAAATATTCACTTTTGCTGACTATGTTACTATTGTTTTCTAATATTTTATGAGTCACAACCAGTTAAATCAATTTTAGAGGAAGGACTTGAACCTAATCACCAGCGTTCTTTTTAAATGCCACACTCAGGCAGGAGATTAAGGCTGGGGCAAACCAGCCACCCAACTGGGCAGAATGTGTCAAAGGTCATAAAAATTCACAGCTAACAGGTTGAGTGGGATGTCTCCTAAGAAGACAAGATAAATGCAGACCACAGGACCCAAAATGACATGGGGCTTATGATTCCTAAGTACCGTGAGCCAATCGGTTCAGGCTGGCCAGGACTCACTATGTAGCCCAGATTGGCCTCGAGCCTGGAGCGCTCTTCCTGTCTCAGCCTCCTGAGTGCTAAGATTACAGGCATGCGTCACCATGCCTAGCCAAAGTGCTATTTTCAAACTGGCACTGTTCGCAGGTCCAATCCGAAGATGCTATCGTGAATCCTTCATTTACATCTGGCCAGTGTAAATGGTGGGAGGCCAAGTTGGTTTTGATAGGACAAAGGTCCCAGTGAGTTAACTGCCAGAGGGCAGGGCCAATCCAGGAATCTGGGAGAGTAAAGATCCCTTCCTGCTTGGCCTTAAGGCTGCTGCAAGAGTCTCTTCATCAACCCACTCTCCAGTGGAGCAGACTTCTTCTCCACATTCAAGAAATGTGCACCCTCACCACCTTTCCTGTATGTCTTATCCTGCTCTTTGTTTGGGACACCGAGGACCTGGGGAAAAAGCCTCAAAGAACCCTCAATCTGGTAACAATATTGATGTGGGGATACAGACCAAATGATCAGCATTAGAACTTGTATCATCTTTTTTGTTTTGTTTTTTGGAACTGGGAATCAAACTCAGGGCCTCATACTTGCCATGTAGGCGCCTTGCCGCTGAACTATATCCCCAGCCCTAGAACTCATAATCTGCCTCTCTTATACACAGAAAAGTTAACTGTGATGAATTTAAAAGCACACAAAGTAAAAGACAAAGTTAAAAGACAACTCAAACACCAATTACAGATGCAGCCAACAAAAGCAATCAAGGAATTGTTAACATATACAAAGATTTCCTAAAAATCAGTAATTTAAAAAACTTTATAAACTAGGTGTGGTGGCCCCTCCCCGTAGCCTCAGCACCCTGGGAGGCTGAGGCAGGACAGTCATTAAAATCCAGCCCAACCTGAGTAATTCTGCAAGAAAAAGTATCAAAGGTGAGTGTGGCAGCTCGTGCATGCACGTCAGCCACCAGCGAGGAGTAAGCTTCAGGCTCTGCAGGGCCCAGGAGCTCCAGGTCAGCCTGGCCACATGGTGAAACCCACACTGCCAAACTCACAAAACTGAAACCAAGGAGGTCCATCCTCTGAAGTGCAGAACACGACTGACTGGTAGCTTGAGGGCTCCCGTTTACTCTCACCTCTGCCATCCCCTACAGCTTACTAACATCCGCGGCTAAATGAGCTGAAATCAGATTTGTGAAGGCCTCCAATACCCAACTGTATTTTCACAATGAAGCATAACCTGTCACTAAAAATATTTTCTACTTCCTGGGAAAAGAAAAAACCCACAAGAGTTCTCATTTCTTACGACTTTTTGATGTCTTATTTAATTTCCTTGCCAAATATGTGTGGAAATCCAGTATTTGAGAAACAGAAGCAGAGGAGGAAGAGGAGGGGGGGGGGAGGTGAAGGAGAGAATTACCTTTGAGATAACCCATGGGTCCCTGAACCACGTCATTTAACCAAGGGTCAACCATAGCACACAATTTTAATAGCATTTAACCTAGCTGGCTGGACTCCTTAAATGTATAAGTCACTGTTCTCTCCTAGTTTTTAAAACCTAAAGCTAATAAATATATTCATAAAAATAGAAATAAGCACTATATTCCATTTAAAGAAAGCCTATCCCCAAATTCAAATGTTACCTTGGATGGGTGAATCTTTCTCTTTTTCAGAAATATAAATACATCTTTTATCCATTAAAACTCCTACTAATCCCTAGAACTGTAGGTCCCAAAAAAGCAAGACACAAAATCAACATTCACCATAGCCAAGATATGGGGTCATCCTAGGTATCCATCAGAGGATAAATGGATAGAGAAAATGTGGTACCTGGACAAGGGAGCCCTATTTAGTCATAATGGAAAAAGAAAGAAACTCCTGCTGTTCGCAACAGCAGGAGAGACTCTGGAGGGAGCCACATTCAGTGAAACAAGCCAGGCACAGAAGATGCAGCACGTTATGTCAGTTGTATAAAAAGATGGTCTCTGTGGGGAAGAGGGTAGAACGGCCAGTTTAGGGGGCAAAGCTGGCGAGGTGTTGGGCAAAGTATGTAAAATTTCAATTAAGGGAAAAGTAATAAGCTCAAGAGCTCCACTGGAGACCATGGTTACTGTCATTAACAACAGACCAGATTCCTGAAAAATGCACAGTGACAGCAACGGGAACTAAGATATAGTAGCTAGACTGGATCACACTACAGTAGATTACGCACACACACACTTTAGTGTACATGCTGCCGAAGGGAGCACTACATATATACACTTTAAACACCATCCTGTACTTGGAAAATATGATTTACTGTCTGTTAAAAATCTGTTAGTGCTTTCAGTTACACCAAGAGCCGGGCATGGTGGTGCACGCCTGTAGCCTCAGCACTCAGGAGGCTGAGGCAGGAGGATCACTGCAAATTCAAGGCCAGTGTGAGCTACCAAATGAGATTAAGGCCAGCCTGAATTGCATAGTGAAATCCTGTCTGAAAAAGCCAAAAAAAAAAAAAAAAAAAAAAAAAATTGTCGAGAACAAAGTTGTCAACCTACAATTCCATAGTGAAATATCACTCTAACATTATAAAATAAAGATGCTTTAGATATGCAAGCTCAAAAATTTGTTTTTTCACTTCTCTTTTTCAGAAGCTATGGAGTATTTGCGTCAGAAATTGTGGAGATAATAAGTTAAGAGGAAAAATCAAGCAAGGAACCAATTATCCAACAAAAGAACCACAAAGAGAATTCCCAGGACCAACCCTGGAAAAGTAAACAAGTAAACTCCTATTAGTGCGGAACAGAGAAGGAGAAAATATGATTGAGCAACAGTTGCAAAGGAATTAATGAGAGGTGTCGGAGAAACTCGTTAAAACACTGAAAGGGAGAAATGAGAAAACTGACCCACAGGAAACTAAGCAAAAAATAAACACAGCAATAGTAACACAAGGGTGGAGCAGGGACCCGACATGGCTGAGGCAAGTGAATGTCACACCCTAGTTACCTGTCAGTAGTTACAGTTAGTACAATGTAAGCATGATTACAGATGCCTTCCAGAGTTGACCAAAATCATGTAACTTTTCAAGAAGCAAGGGGGTAGATCTGTCATATAATCTGAGTTCTCTGCCCCCATTAAAAGATTCCTGGATACATTCTAAATTGATTTGAAGAAAATCTCAGTGAGCATAAAGTTTAGAAGTAAGATAATATCAACAAATAGTACTGGAACAACAAATAGTATTGTATTGTTCTGGAGAGCCAAGGAAAGGGTAAGAGACTTACTTGTTTGAAGCCTCTGGCATTAATGAGTCTTTTACAGTGTGCATTTAGTACATAAATGTTCTAAATGTTACCAACTTTGGTGATATATCAACTAATAGAAATCAAAAGACACTCGGCATGAAATGTAAGATTTCCTTTGTTACTTAAAATTATACAGTAAGGGTGGGAGCATGCCTGTGGTCCCCGCACAAGGGGTTCTGAGGCAGGAAGACTGCTGCCAGTTTGAAGCCAGTCTAGGGTACACAGTGAGTTTAAGGCCTGTCTGAACTTCATAGAGAGACCTTCTCTTAAAAAACAACAACAACAACAAAAAAAAAAACCTTATATACAGCAAGGGCCAAATGGGGTGGAACAGACCTTTAATCCCAGCACTCAGGAGGCTGAGACAGGAGAATTACTATACTTTCAAATCCAGTCTGTACTACATAGTGAGTTCAAGGCCAATCTGAACTACATAGCAAGACCCTGTCTTGAAAAAAACAAAAATAAATAAAATTACACTGTAACCAATTTAGGAACTAAAACAGTCATTAAATATGAGAAGGGAGGTTGGGCAGGGTGGTGCATGCCTATAATCCTAGCACTCAGGAAGCTGAGGTAGGCGGAATCACTGGGCTACATATATAGAGTGAGTTGAAGACCAGCCTGTACTACATAGTAAGAGTCTGTCTAGTGAGACTCTGTCTCAAACAAAATGAAGCAAAACATGAGAAAAAGCAGAAATTTAAATAATCTATACACTATAGATGGTATATAGTGTACTGTAATGAGCAGTGTGGGGCAGGTTTTCTTTTGCTCTTCATCCAAAGACCATCTATCCTAAACCAGATGTGGTAATGCATGCCTATCCTCCCAGAACTGGAGGAGCCTGAGGCAGGAGGATCACTACAGAATTCAAAGCCAGCTTGAAATACATAGGGAGATCCTTTCTCCAAACAAAGACCATTTGTCCTATTTGACTTTTAACTAATCACGTGAGTTTTTACAAAGTTACCTTGAGATCCAACCCATTAAAAACTCATGGAGTTCCTTGAAACTTGATTTTAAAAATAAGTTTTTCAAAAGGGTAAAATGCACTTAACATGGCCTTCGAAATGCTCTATCGAGAACATTCTTAGAAAGAAAAACAGGTGAACAAAGGAATACTAGTTGACTGGGAATACAGCTGGGCAAGGCAAGAAGTATTCCTAACATGTGAGTGTGTATAAAAGAGTAAGTGATGAAATTCAATCTGAATCAGTTTATTTAATGAGTAGATAATTAAGCCAGGCGTGGTGGCACATGCCTGTAATCCCAGCACTAGGAAGGCTGAGGCAGGAGGATCACTGTGATTTCAAGGCCAGTCTAGGCTAAAAAAATGAGTTCAAGGCAAGCCTAAATCATATAGTGAAACCCTGCCTCAAAAAAGAGCGAAAAACAAAAAATAAAATTAATGAGTAGATAATTGAGAAAAAATTGCATTATGTTGTAACCCATTCTGAAGAATTCTGTGGCAAATATAAGTCACCACCTCAAAAAGAAAAAAATCATAACAAAGATCACTTTACTAGAGATTTTCTAATTACATCTAATCATCTTATTTCCTAACATAATAACATAAAATACATTTGTGCATATACTTATGTATTTAAAACAAACTACTAATATTCTCTGCACATTATGACAGGAAGGCTTAAAAGAAATAAATTTTAAGGATGCTTGTAACTTTGCTTTTAAAACTTTTTATGAAACCACTGTAAATTACATACTTAAAAAAACACTATGGTCATGAAAAAAAACCCTTAAGGTATAGCTTTAAGGCATTACATATATTGAACAATGATGTGATGGAAAAAATACATTTAGTACCATGAGAAAATAATGATAAAAATTTGAGAAGGTAGGATAAAATTGTATTATAAGATTAATATCTAAAGATTCTATATATCATTCCCATGTTAGCCCATGGTACCAAACAATAAACATAAACAGCAGCTACGCTCCATCATTTTTTAGCAGTGAACCTCCAAGTTTATATTGTGAATTACTAGACATTATGATCCTTCATTTTCCCCAACTAATAATGTGCTCCAAATTTTGATTACTCCTAATTCTGTTATATTAAGTCTGAAACCGATTAATGATGTACTGTATCCTGCTAAGTAGAATTAAATTAGTGTATAATTGATTAGTGTATAATTGAAGCAGTTGTAGATTTATCAACTTTAATTAGGATGACTTATTACAGATAATTGATACTATAATGTAAGAGAGAAACTAGAAACAAGAAGTTCATCAAAACCTCAAATGAAGATCAAAGACACAATATTAAAGATAAGAAAGGGTGTTATATGCTAATCCCAAATTCTCTGAAAGTAAATCATTTTAGTCCAAATCCTTTTAGAGGAGAAAATTATTAACCTTTTAACCTAAATTTTTCAAGTAATTGCACTATTTATGGCAATCTACTCCAATAAGTGATGCTAACTTATATGCATGAATGAAGAATTCATATCAACAATATCTTGTCTATCTACAATGCTAAATTACAGTAAAGCAACACATATTAAAATACATAAATAGAATTTCTCACCACTCTTTTAAAAAGGTGCTCAAGCAAGAGAAAATCCCAAAACTCTAACCCTAAATATAATATCAACAAGGAAGCAAGGGAGGAGAAAGAACACAGAGGGACAGAGTTTCCAGCTCTCTCAATACTCAAGTGGGTAGGAACCGGAACCACAGCCCAGAAAGTTCTTCACATAATTTGCTAACTCCCGGGAGTTCAAAGCCATGATAATTAGATTCATTATCTTACATGCTAATGACACAGAGATAATAAGTTTGCAGTGAATAATTCATATACTACCAGTTCTCACAGTAATGCTCATTGCTAATAGTTTATTTACAGTAGAAGTTACACTGCATTTTTTATAGTTTTAATTTTATTGCCTAACAGGAATCATTTAGTGTGGAAATCTAATTTACTATCACCAAATGATAATAGTCTTAAGCAGATAGTGGTTTGCATATTTGTATAGTTTTTACTCATTATTCACAATTAGCTATGATAACAACCAAACTACCACACAAATGTCTTGTACAAAGATTTAGGTACCTATATAGGTGGTTGCTCTAAATTACATTTCAAAAATGCTATGCAGAGTTGACATCAACATGTCATAAAGTGCTTTAACAACTCATATTTTTCAAATTAATACTAATTTCTCTACCTTCCTCACTTTAAAATATACACTAAACTGTTTTGGAACTGTGAATACCAAAATACAAAGGAACTGCTTAGATTCCTTATATGACTTACAGATGTCTTCAATTTTTACCTAGTTTTGTAATGGACTTAATATCACATTTTTTGTATACATGGTAAATTAAAGATAAGGCAGCTTTTGCATCTCTCAAAATGACTTTCGTAGCTGCATAACTCATTTTATACTTTATGCATATTATGAACAGCTCTTGCATTACTGTACACCTGAGTTGTAGTAATTTCAATTTTCTCCATTTGGACAGGTAAATTTTTTCTATTATCTTTGTACTTCTACAATGATTTCTTCTAAAATAATTGTTTTACAAGCTATAACATTTTCAATATAGAGGTTGTATCAGTGAAGACAGGTTTGGTAGGATTCAGGTGACATTTATCAGGAAAGAATGTCAAACTATCAGGAGCTGAAATAATAAGGTCTTTTTCTCCTCTACTTCATGGGTCATCTGAGGACCCAACACGACAGAGCCATCACCCGCTCCAATTCTGCTGTCATCGTGGCAGATGAAAAGAGTGTGCAGGACAGTCCTGCCCTGGGAATTAAAGGCTGTGTCTCAGAAAAACACATTTTACTTCTTATAAGGAAGTACACTGACATGAAAAATGTACTTTGAAGTTACGCCTTTGAAAAAGTTTAAATCTTTAAAGTTTCAACAAAAAAATATGTTCACATCTACCTCAATAAACACAGGCTTATGTAACCCACGAACACAGGTTACATAATGCTCGTGAAGATCTCAGACACAGACAGCATCGCAAATTCTTTTTGTATTAAGTAACAACCAGAGCATGACAATCAGTTCTTATGAAATCTAAGCGCGTAACAGTGACGTTAAGTACCCTTTCGAAACTGAAAATCTGAACACATCACCCACTTAAAATCCTCTAATCTTCTCAGCATGGCCCTCCATGTAATGATGCCTGATTGCTTTCCTGTCATCCCAGGAAATTCAATGACAATCTACAAAATGCTCCACTGGGACAAAACTAATAAATGTGTGGCCCTCAGGTCTTCCCACCTTTTCCCGTCCAATCCGCAGCAGAATCCTCGCTCTGCCATCTCATTAGATGCAATCTCGCTGCCCCTCAAGGAGGCTGAAGTCATCTCCGTGGTGTGGGGACTCCCGACTCTGAGGGCTGCAACACCCAGAGTTCAACGCTGGCGCAACGGTGACTGCACAGCTCCTCCCCAGCTGCTCACGAGCAGCCACCAGATTACAAGCTCCGTGGAAACAGGTGCTATTATTTATCTTTGAATCTCGAGCCTGGCACCTTCAGTGGCTAGTAAGTACACACCTAGGAAAATGCCTACTGTCCCAGAATGTCGAATGAATGAATGCTCCCAGAGGAAAGCAGTGTGGACAGACAAAGCAACTGGGCTTGGAGACAGAACAGCAAAAAAGTAGTTTTTTCCTTGAGTTCCTTTCAAGGCTAAATACTGGAGTCAATTTGTTGGCGGTAATTCTAGTAAATTCACTTAAAGTTATGTGACAATGTTCAGCTTATTTCGCTTCCATTCATTCCCTGGGCTTTTATTTATTCAGTTCAGATTTATTGAATGCCAGGAGCTATGAGAACTCTGTACTAGGCTGGGGAGTAAGTAAATATCAGTGCAGATGTTATCATCAATATACACATAAGATAAAAAATAATCAGTATTTTGCTAATTTAATTATTTTTCTAATGATGTAGTTCAAACTAGTTTCAAACCCTTGGGCTTACATAATCCTCCTGCCTCAGCCTTCTGAGTGGCTGGGACCATAGGGATGGCCAATGTACTCACCACCCCCACTTCTCTTTTTGGCAGTACTGAGGATTGGAACACTTGGCCTTTATCTTGAACTACATTCCCCAATCCCTTCCCTTTTATTTGAAACATGGTCTCACTAAGTCATTACATTCCCCAGACTGGGCTCAAGTTTGCAATCTTTCTGCCACAGCTGCCCAGAGTGCTAGAATGAGAGGAGGGTACAATCAGCCCAGCTTCACTGAATTTTTTTAATGTCCACTTTTCACAAAAAGAAGGTTAATACTCAATTTTACATTAATTTACTACAGCTATGAAAATATTTAAAATAATGACTTACCCATTTGCTATAACAGTGTCAAGCAGCTGAGCACAGAGGTGCATGCCTGTGACCCTGCTCAGCAGACTGAGGCAGGAAGATCTCAAGCTAGAGGCCAGCCTGACAAATTTAGCTCTATCTCAAAGTTAAATAAATGTTTAAAGGGGCTGAGGACACAGCTCAATGCAAACCCTGTGTTCAATCCCTAGTATTCCCATGCAACTAAATGTCAACTATGTTTGAGTTACTTTTCTCGAAGTATGTTATACAATATTCTTCTACTTCAAAATAATTCTAATATAAAAGTCTAACCAAAAGAAAACGCATGTTAAAATAGAAGAAAAATGGATGTAAGAAAGACATATCAGGTTCAATTCCTGGATCTGTAAATATTTTTTAAATCCTACGAAAAATAACATGCTAAAAACAAATCTTAAAAAACCCAAGTACTGCCTGCAATGACATTTTGTAAGTGAAACATTACAAGAAGCAAAAGTAAAAGATACCTGAAAAAATATCATGCTCTCCGTTACTGAAATATTTTCCAAAAAGACAAAGTGATGAGCATAATTCAGTCATTCTTAGTCACTTAGCTACCTAACCTGTAGCAAAACAAAATGATGCACATAACTCCTGAACATTTTTTAATTTTAGCATATGCAGATAAAGAATATATAAAGTGTTTTAAATTTGCATTTTTTAATAAAATAGCTGATAAATGCAAAGTGACATCTTTTGGCAGTAATACATTATTATTAAAAAACAGTTCTGTTACAAAATATCAAGAATCAATACTTATTACTCAGTATTAGCAACATAAATTTCATGACCCAACTTCATAGTAACTCAGTTTGTGTCAGATAAATGTGGGAAAATCACTTAATATAAGACATTTATTGGGGTTGGGGATTTAGCTCAGCAGCACAGGCGCCTGCTTGGAAGGGGGAGGTTATGAGTTTGATCCCTGGTCCAAAAAAAAAATTAAAGACTTTTATGTTGTAGAAAACTTAACCTCCCATATAACTGGCTTAAAATACTTATTTAACTATAAAACACATTGCTAATGAATATGAATTGGACTAGAAGACATATAATAACTGTATGTAATAGAACAGCAAATAACTGACAAATAAGACTAGAATTATTCTTAAAAATTAGGAAGTTATGCCAAGCATGGGGGCGCACGCCTATAATTCCAGCATTGGGAAGGCTAAAGCAATAAGATCACCAAATTTGAAGCAAGCCAAATTCAAATCCAGCCTTAGTAATGCAGACTAACTCAAAATTAAAAGAAAAAAATCAGGCATGGTAGCCCACGTACATAATCCCAGCACTTGGAAGGCTGAGGCAGGAAGATCACTAAGAGTTCAAGGTTAGCTTGGGTGGCATAGCAAGTTCAAAGCTAGCCAGAACTACATATCAAGACCTTGTCTCAAAAAAGAGAGAGAAAGAGACAGGGAGAGACAGTGTGTGCCAGACAGAGCGGTGTGGGGGACAGAGAAGAGCAGGACAGAGCAGAGAGAAGAAAGGGAGCTGCAGGTGTAGCTTAATGCTAACATGCCCCTGAGTTCAACCTCAGTACCAAACCACAAAGAGGCTGCTAAAACAGAGTTCATTGGAATTGCTGTTATGCTTAAAATATAATAAAATGTTCCTATTGTTAAAGAACACTCACTAAATACTTGATTTTCAAACATATTTTGATCAGCTATTGGAACTGTCAGCCATTCTATTCTACTTTGGGGGAAAACACTTCATAATTAACTTGTGATGAGGGCCTGTCCGAGGCCCAGTGTCTCGCATGCGAGCCAGCTACGGTACGCAGAAACACAGAAATGTAACTCAGACAGCCTCCGCTCATAGCAGTTTGGGCCTCCTCTGACGCTGTGCCACTCCAGGGCCAGATTACATCAGCTGAAGGTATCGGTTCCAATAATAATAATAATAAAAGGTTTCACCTGGCAGAACAGACAAACGTATTACCCTGCCATCTCTCCTGCCATCCTCACCGATATTAAGATGCTCATTAGCTCAAGATCACCGATGCCCTCCGAGTCACCTGATAATCCTCTCACCATTTCCCCCAGTGTAAATATGACCAGCTACCTCTTGGCCCCTTTGTTCCTGAGAACAATTATCCGTCCCAGATCCCCACGCATCACCATTTTGTCTCTTGCTCTTTCTTTTCACTGTGCACTATAACACCTCGCAGGAGACTGGGGTCCACTGCAGGGGTCCCTGATAACTAACCATGTCTACCCATGTGTTCAAATCTAAGGGTTTTATAGGTTTCTGAATATAGGTTTTCAACACTTAAGTTTATACTTAAGTATTTTATCTTCTCTCGTGAAAAGTCTTTCAACGATATTTTACAAATACTTTTTTCGCACACTAATACTGTGTCCTGATACTTTGCTGAATTCTTGTACTGTTAGCTTTATCTTTAAGCCTCTAAAATTTTTCTGGTACACAATCGTATCACATGCAACTTTACCTCTGCTTTTCAAGGACTTCTACCTGCTTTGGCTCATCAAAGTGAACTGCCTGTACCCTCCAGCATGATGGGTTTACTGATTTGTTTGCTTTCTGCTGTTTCTCAACTCAGCAGTCCCTGGTGGCGTTGAACTTGCAGTCCTCCTGGTCCAGCTTCCCAGTGCTGGGATTACAGGCATGCGCCATCACACCCTCTTTCACTAAGACAAATAGTAACAGCGATAAGCACGCATCTTTGACTTATTCTTGGCTTTAGTAAGAACCTACAGTGTTTCCCTTAAGTAAGATGCTGAGATAAGGCAAATGTATTCGATCTTGTTAAGGCAATATTCAACCACACCTATTTTCTCAAGAGCTGTTCAGTGGGAGTGGGTGCTGGATGTTGTCATCATGCAGCTATGGAGCAACAGTCTAACTGTTCAGCAGCTATGACTCACCACCAGCGAGTCACTAAAGAGCCATCTCAGCTCCGGGCAGTATCATGGTGCTTGTGGTCAAGTAATCCTTAGGTAGCAGGCCAAGGCTCTGTCACAACACCTGTGCCTGCTTCACTTCAGCTTGTGGCACTGTGTCACCTCAGGTCATTACAAGCAGGGTAAGAAGGGAACAATCAGACTGAGAGAGGCAAAGAAAGAGAATGTTCACATAACATTTGTTTCAGTCCACTGTTACAGTTGTTTTATTTTAATTATCATTATTGATACTATGCTTACTTTATAGATTAAACACAGCAGATGAAAACCTCAGTAGCATATATAGAGTGTGGTACTATTTGCTGGAGACCTTGGAATGGATTCTCTGTTGGGGAAACAGGTGACTACTGTATTTGTAAACCAAGAAGCCCCACCAGCCTTTAGTGACCGGAGCTTTTATTGGGGTTTCATTCCCAGGCATGACTGATGAAGTCAGTGCTCATGTGACTGATTAAATGACTAATTTCAATCTCCGTCCCCCTCTCCACAGAGGCTGACCCAAACCTACACCTCGGAAAAAGCCTTGGTATCCTGCATCCCCAACCCTCATTCCAAAGCCAGCCAGGGGCCCAGCTAATATTATAGACAGCTAAGCTAGATAGAAATAGAGCAGATGGTCAGATAGGGCTGGAGTGTCTGAGGGAGTCAGTGCAGGAGATGAGAAGGCGTCAGGACTGCGGTTGGACATGCATCTGAAGATGAAAGTCACCTACTTCCCTAGAGGATGATGGAGGCTTGGGCTTAGTGGTACCACCCTTTTTGAGATTCCCCATTATCTCATTAATGGTGGCCCATCTTCTCCCAACTTCTGAGACTAAGACCACCGAAACTAGGACTAACACTACTAAGACTAAAGACAAGACTAAGCCTGTGACAGATGACTGACCAAAGTTAACAGTGTCAACCATGTACCCTTGTACCATTAGATCAATATTACCCAAAAGGCTATACCTGCAATCTTATGGGTTGATTGTAATTTGATACATGTTGTACCCATCTCAAGATTTTGCTCTAGGAAGCGTCTTTTGAAAGGTGGCCTCACTGGTCACTTATTTGGGACCCTTCCTTTTGCTTAGGAGCTCTCCTATTCCCCACTCCTTTTCTCCAATAAATTTTCCTACTCAACCTCCACTGATCCTTAGAATTCATTCTTTGACTTTGGAAAACATGAACTCTGCATGTTTGACATCTAGCATTTCCCCTACATCAGTAAGTCATCCCATTAGCAACATTGGTAGCGACAGCACAATAATCCATTACATTCATCAGTTACAAAGGTACTGTAATGGCTAAAATGTGGGAAATTCTAGCAATCTCAGTTGCTCTGTACCAGGAACCCTGGCATGAAATGTTCTTCACTAGATGGAACATAGGATAGCTTTCTTCTCCTTAGTACCCCCATTCCAATTTCTGAAGAAAACTAGTAAGGGAAATAAGTTATCACAGTAGCCAGTTAGCTACACGTACGAGAATTGTTGGACAAAGTGCTAACGGACGACACTACTACTCAGACCCACAGTATTTATTAAAACCACTGAACCCTTTGCTTTTTTCAAAAATTTACCTCTAAATCCTTATATCACAAAATAAACAAGGGTACTACCTTTAAATGATGGTTTGGCTTGGTTTTGCAGAACTGGAGGGTTGAATCCAGCAGCTCTTTAACACTAAGCTACATCCCTAAGCCCTGGGTTTTTCACTTTTTTCTTTTCTGAGACAAAATGTCACTAAGTTGCCTAGGCAGGCCTTGAATTTGAGACCCTCCTGCCTCAGCCTTCTGAGTAATTTGGATTACAGAAGTGTGTCTATGTGCCTGGCCACATCTTCTGATTTACCTATTTCAACACTGGTACAAATCTTAGCTTTTACTTCCTGTGAGGTACTGTGGGCTGAAATATTTTACAACTTTAGAGGTTCTCTTTAAGGAAAAGAAAACTGGATATAAAACAGATTTTCATGTAGAATGAGGAAACTCTACAACAAATCACAGACTTAAAAACATGACAAATGCCACAAACACCACAAATTCCAAAAAGAATAGCATATTTTTGTAAGATCTAACTGCTCAGGCTCTGTTATATGATTTTCCTCCATTTCTAGCTGCATACTTCTGACAGCCTCTTCCTGCAGCTTGGTAACCTTCTAACAGGGACTGAAAGACAGGGCCTGTAAGAACAGGGCCTGTGGCTGCCCAGGGCATAACCGGGGGCTACAGAAAGCCTGGCATGTCTGCCTTCATTTGTGTTATCAGCCTCCTTTACTACCTTAAAACCTTGCATCATATCGCTGCTCAGCTGTACATGTAAATCATTCAAGAATGTTTATCTAAAAACTGATAAAAATGTTTATCAGCTCTAAATTTACCTGTCTCTTCCCCTAGTCAGGATCAAGACAGGAAGATAAGAGTAAATATGGTTCTTTTTAAGAATTGCAGGAACTCTGGCTGCCAGGTTTTATAGGATGTCTGTTGCACAAGTCTCCACTCACTGTCCTGACCCTGCGCCCTGTGCCCTGCGCCCCTCCATACACACAAGCAGAAGCAAAGGTCTCCAGGGAGCCAGCTTGTCCCACCACACCACAGGACTCCAGAGCCGCCTCACAGACCAGGCCTGCAATAGCGATTCACCAGACCAAGGCTGACCCACGCCACCGCTACCCACACTCCAGCTTTGCCTCTGTTCTTCTTTTCTATAAAAACCCCTCAATTCCTGTCTGTCCCTTGCAGACAGATCTTGGGCCTCTTCACCTGTCTTTGCCAGTTTAGCCACACTAATTAAAGCTCCTCTCTTGCTCCTAGTTGCTTTGGTGTTTGGGGACAAGCCTAGGGGTTTTTTGGTTTATTTGTTTGGTTTTGGTTTTTTAAGACAGGGTCTGAACTTACTTTGTAGCCCAGGCAGGCCTCGAACTCAAAGCGATCCTCCTGCCTCAGCCTCCCAAATGTTGGTATTATAGGCATACGCCACCATCCCCGGTGTCCCAAACCTAGTCTTTAGGAGCCCTTATGCCTGAGAGTTCACCCATGACTCCAATAACAATATTAAAAGAGCAAAATGAGAGCTTGGTCTTTTTGCTAGTGTTTGATCATTTTTTGTTACAAGCAGCATGAATAAGTTTATATCAGCTTTACAACTTATTACTGAGAACACCATGTACATTTGTAGGAATGTTACCAAATTTAGGAAAACATGTGCCTATAATCCCTGCACTTTTGGAGGCTGAAGTAGTGAATTACAAGTTTGAGCCCAGCCAGGGCAACTCAGTGACTTTAGCTAAACTGTCTCAAAATGAGACGAATAACAAGGGCTGGAGATGTAGCTCTGGTTCAGTCCCCAAAATCAATCGATCATATCTAAGCTCTAAGATCTAGAAAAATTTTCTAGGGCAGGGTTGGTGTCACACATGTGTAATTCCAGAGGCTCAGGAGGCTGAGGCAGGAGGACAGCAAGCTTGAGACAAGGCCAGCAAGTTTTGAGACCTCATCTCAAAGTAAAATAAAACAGTGCTAGGGATGTAGCTCCACACACTTTAGATATGTTTCTCTTCCTTAACCTACATACTCTGGTACCAAACACAAACAATATGTTCATATTGTTCTAAGATCTCTGGCCCTGCATCTGTGTACCTCATAGGAAGGAAATTAGGCACACGAGACAGAAAGAATACTTTGGTCCCTGTTGGAGGATGGCTATTCACAACTACATACACAAGCAACTGCAAACAGACACCACATCGAAATGTATTTCCGTCTTCCCTTAGCCAGTTCCCGAAGCTGCTTCCAGCCATTCCAATGCCACCCAATGTTGGTGTTCGGTAAAGGGAAAATAAAAGTGTAAGAGATAGCAATTTTAACCGATTCAAATATGTAACTTTTGAAAAATCTTACCCCTCAAAATTATAATTACATGATCATACCGCTTGTGATGTTCCCTGAGCCCTGGAAGGGACTGTTAAGGGACTCTGAAAATTAGGTTCCCCAACTATGAAGTAAATTTATCTCTATTTCCTACATTAATTAGAAGACCTACCTTCTATTCCCTCAACCCACAGAAACTGTCAGAAATCAGACTCATCTCCTCAAAACACTTTGCCACTGTTAACATCTAACATCAGTGATGGGGTAGCTGGCTGGTGAGCACATGCCGCCTCGGTACCCTATTACAAAATACCTCAGTATTCCATAGCAGATCATCTCCAACTTCTACCACTGTGAGATCAGCACACTGCCCCTAAAATTGTCTTCTCTTCCAGTTTTAACCATATCTACACAGCAATACAAGCCCTATGACAGTTTATTATTATACTTTAGAGCAAGGACAAACACTTTAGACTTTATTAAGTTTCTTTAAGTAGTAAATATGGGTGTGTGGGCCTCACAACAACCTAATACATTCCCTTGTTTCACACAGCCTAATGGATGTCTTCTAATTTTACATAAGACCTAGTACTGCAGCACAGTATCTTTATGGCTGCGTACTTTAGCAGTTCAACAAGATCATTAAGGATTCAAGTTCTTACCTTCTTTTTGTTTTCATGCTGGCGTACAGTGTTCTGGCTTTATCTTGAACTCTCTCCCAGCCCCAGAAAGGTTACAAGAGAGCTCCTACAATTCTAAGCACCTTCTAGATAGGAATGTCTAGAAATAGGAGGGGGAAATCATTTGAAGAGTCCTTCATAAAATCATTCATGTCTCATTTGTCACATACAAATTATTGGCCAAATTAAGAGTCACAGTCCCATGTTTGAACTGATGACTGTTAAGAAACATAGAGTAATCATGACTGGTCTAGACATATCAGTATTTAGCAAAGTTGTAAAGTCAGGAGAGAGTAGTGTTAAGTTCACCTCCACCGCCCCAAAACAAGGATCTGCCACAAAGATAACAGTTGTAATGAATGGTTTCTGGATAAGCTTTTTATTAAGTAAATTGGATACCGAATCTTAATGCTAATTACAGATTTTGACAATGACATATATTTGATTACAGGGCCAGGCTAGAGTAGGTATTTAGGTCCATTACAGTTTTATACTCTAGGAGACAGTCAAATAGCACAGTGGTTAAGAGCGTGGGTTTTCAAGTCAAACTGACCTGGGTTTGAAGGTCCACTTATTTGTTCTTTTGGCTAATATACCCTCTCTCTTCTGAAAATCCAGATAATAATATTACTTGACTCATGCTGACATGAGAATTAAATGAAATAATGAATGCAAGATGCTTAACATCTTACCTAAGCTTCACAAAGGAAGCATTCAATAAATAGTTACTAGCCTATAAAATGTAACTTCTAATTACTATCATTTTTGTACCACTAATTTAGAATATGTGATAACTATAACCCTGGTTATTTCCAAATTAGAAAAATGATTGACCTCTCCTCCATATTTTTATGCATAGCAAACTGAAGATTTAAAAGGTATAATGCATACCCAGGCTATCTCTCCACTGACTCTCCTTTCTAAGTGTTTCCTCTGATCATAACTTAAGGCTTCTAACATAGTTTTACTCAGAAAACTAAATATTACAAAAGCAAAAGTACTACTTCACTCAAATCATGCTGCTCTTTCTCTAGAAGTTAGATACCAGAAATTACTTACACAGATATAAAGACAAAACCTCAAAACCTCCTCCATGTCCTGTCCTTGTCAGCCACTAAATCTTATCAATTTTAACTCTGAGTTGTATTTTTTCTCTCTGGTCTAACGTCACTATTACTACTCTGGACCCTCATTATTTCATTTGCATTTATTATGAAAATACATTAAACCAGTATTCTTGTCTCGTCTCAGCTTTCCACTTGATCCTATATTTTACTGATTACCTTTGTAAAAATGCAGACCAAGTATGCCTGCTTAAAAACTTTCCACAAGTAACAATTATCGTCCATAAAAAAATACAACAATTTCAGCAGACAGATAAAATTCCTCACAATTATGCCCATATCCCACATATGTAGCTTTTTTCTTCTATCTTCATTAAATACTCAATGTTTTAACCAATGATGCAGTGCCTCAATGTTCTCTCAGGGCTGTAATCCCAGCACTTGGAAAGTGGAGGCAGGAGGATCCACAAATTTGAGGCTAGGCTGGGTTACATGATGAGTTCAAGGTCAGCCTAAACTACATAGCAACACCCTGTCTGAAAAAAAACAAAAAGAGGGAGAAGAAAAATAACCTGCTGTTCTCCAAAACATCCTATTAATGCTTCCATGTGTTCCTAAGAATCCCTCTATCTGGGGACAGGAGAAAGTATACCAACTATATTCATCCTTCAAGACCCACCTCTAACACGAGCTCTTTCACGCAGCTCACAGGTTGAGGAAGGTCACTGCTCTTAGAGTACTGGACACAGTTTCTGCAAGCCTTACTCCATGTCGGCTGGCTGTGACTTATTTACAATACCAGAGAGACTGGAACTTTTCAGGGCATCTGTGAACTTCTGGTATATCTCTAAGACAGACAATAAATACTCAAGAACTATTAAATGCATGAATAAATAGATAGAGGCAAAATAAGAACTCACATTATCAGGCTCCAAGTTCTATGTTGTTTTACTAGGCAGACTTACTGGAATTTTTAAACCACCAGTCTGTCTTCTCCATTATATTATGATAAATCTCATAAGTGAAGGAAAACTATTGTCACTCTAAGTCCAGTGTCTAAAACAGGACTTTGTGCATAGAAAAATAAACATGAATATTTAAATGTCACACAAAGCAATCTCATTTATATTAAATAAAGAAGAGGAGCAGACTACAGCACCGCAGGTCTTTTTTTTTTTTTTTTTTTTTTTAAGAAATGCAACAATATATCAATATTTGTTATTTTCACTTGGTTTCCTTCACTCATTCAGTTCCCATTTGAACCCTTTAGTAATATAACTGCACAACTGCTATACCAGACTTTCAGTAAACATCCAGTGAACAAATAATATCTCTATGTTTGCATGACAAGCACACAGTTTACATATGACGCTGTAAGATCTCAAATTCTTATTGGAAGTCTTAAGGACACAAACAATAAAAGAGAGAAAAATATAGGCATAAATACAGTGATACATGACTACTCACAAAAAGAAGGGTAATTATTTTGCTGTAATCTATTTATGTCTAGTATTCCTAGTTAATGTTTAACATTCACTTACCAGTGTGTAAAATTAATAGTAAGAACACTTACTTGTTCCTAGTATACAAAGGAAGGTAAGAAAAGTAAAATCCTTCCCCTGCTCCTGGAAACTACTATTAAATTAAGAAGTAATATACAATATGATAATGCACTCATGGTTTCAGTAATTATATTCCAAAGAACCTTCCTATTTATAGATCAGCAACCAATGAGGAGGAAGTCACACAGATATTAAATATGGTCTAGTTTACTTTGTTAAAAGACATGGAAAATAAACAGAAAGTAAAAAGAGTATAAACAGGAAGCAGAAAATACTTATGATTACAAAGAATTTAGAAAATTAAATATAGTCTTAAAAGACCATCAATTAAATATACACCTTCAAAACGGCTTTTATTTTCTTTTCTGATGTCTATCACCCCTTTCTTTTCCACATTTCTGCTAACAATCTGTCCTCTACAAACAACGTGCAATAAAATGAACAAATAAAACACAGACTACTTCCTGGAAAATTTACAACACTGATCCTAGCAAGACTGCAGATCCATAAACTCTTCTGGTTTATTGACCACCTGATATAAAAATGGAAGATAGCTCCTAAACCAAACAGTCTTTCAAACTTGCAGCTTAAAAAATTATTTTCAACAACTTTACCCAAGCACATAATCATAGAAAAAAACTTAAAACATCATCTAGCTCAATTAGCCATAAATTCTGATTCACTTACCAGCATCTCTACCAATAGTCAATAATCTGATCTATACATTAATGTCTCCTGAAAAAAGTAATTCACTGCCTCCAAATCCAACTGATTTTAGTTTTGTATTTTTTCACCACACTAGAAAGTTTTCCCTTGTTGAATGAAAATTCATTCAGCCCACGTCTCCTACCCACTGGTTTCACGAATAAATCAACAGATCTAATCTCACTTCCTCATGAAGGAAGCCTTTTGAATGAAGGCGGCCATTATGCACGTCCTGATTACTCCTCTTCAGCCTAAACTGTCCAGTTTCTTCACTACATGGTTTTAAATTCCTTCAACAGCAACAACAACAAAAAAGGTGGATGCAGTTTAGAATCCACTGCCTCCATCTCAACCTTCGACTTGAGAAATGGGGTATATCTAACGAAAAGGAATATAAAATTATTATCCTCTTGATTTAGTTCTTGAGACTTTAGAAGGCTTTTTCTTCTATGGTGGACTGCCACAAATGACCAGGAAGGCTTGTAACTGTTTTACTGTTCAGAAAAGAAACGGAGGGGAAAAAAACAAAGAAGACAGTAAAAGAGTCTCTAAAACACGAGCAGCTATCTTCACCTTCAACCTGGGGGTGGGAAAAGCTACATTATACCATCTGCCAATTCCCCTTTCCCCTTAGAAGTTTAAACTTTATGGTAAAGCTATCACAGTGAATTTACAAAAAAACAAACTAACAAAAATCCACTATTTTATTGTTGAAAAAAACAGATCAATATTCCAAATTTGCTCATGTTAGTTAAAATAACAAAATAAAAAAGTTTTAGGCCATGTGTGCCTGTAATCCTTGCACTCAGGAGATTGAGGCAGGTGTAGCTCTGTGAGTTCAAGGCCAGCCTTGGTTATTAGTGAGTGAGATATTGACTCCAAAAAAACCTATTTCCAAACCAAAATAATTTACTAACAAGAGGTATTATTTTGTACTGAGCATGAAAAGCATAAATGTCTATTTTTTAAAAAGTACTGGTAACCTGGCTCACAGAAAGCCTGATGTAGCACACCACCCTTAGAGTCACACTCTTGATACCTGTTGGACTAGACAATCTTTAATACCCTCGATCCTCATGAAACCAACCTTAGAAGATCCCCAACCCACACTGGGGGGTGAACTTGGTCTTCACAGTGTGATCTCCATCCCCGCCCTCCCTGCCTCCTTCCCTGCTCTCTCCTTCTCTCTGACGGGGTCTCACTAAATTGCCCAGACTGGGCTTAACTTTGTGATCCTGCTGCCTTTGCCTTCCAGAATGCTAGGGAAGGGTGACCATACACGCTACTAAAATTTTGGTTCAGAAAAAAGAAAGGAAAAGAAAAGAACATATCCTCACTATGGTAGAATGTATCATTATGATTCCAAGACATTCCAGTGAGATTGTCCTTTTAAATCGATTATAAAATGTCATTTCAGAAAAGTATAAGATTACAAAAGACAACAAGAATATGTGACTAAAAACTACAGAACAGGAATTCTCTTTGTTAGTATGGAAATTTCTCCAAGAAAAGTTATTTACGTAATTAATATTACACTGTAATGCTAATAAAAACTCCTCACATAACAAAACTATTGACCTACGTAATAAATTTGTGAAGGTCATCTACTATATGTACCTCGTAGTGCTAAGTGTAGCAAAGAAATAAAACATAAAGAGTTTTATACTCTTCAAGGAGAGCTCTGACACACTGCAAAACTAAAATATTAAGTTTTAAAAAACGAAAATGCAATGAACATGTCCAAATAAAGCATTATAGTAGTTATTCATCTTAAGGGTATGTATAAGGACTATGTTACTATAATATTTACATTCAAGTAAGAAAAACAAGAAAAACTACTAGCTTGACAAGCTGTTTATTCTATTATAAATAACTGAATACTGAGTTCACAGTCACACATTAACTTCTAGAGGACAAATTCAAAGCCAGTATTTAAAAGAAACCTTAATTTCACATGACCTGTTGACACCATGGCTTTAACAAATATTTTTAACAGTGTCTACATGCCTTTATGCTGCAGTCTCTCAGCCAGACACAGACATAGAGCTGTAACATCAGGGGGAAATGCTACAACAAAATCCTAGAAATATTCTTATGGCTCAGCTAAACCTTCAGTGAAAGCATTTCATTAGCTAGCTAAAGCATTAATTTGAAACCTATATCTCCATAAATACTGCTTTTTTCCTAATATATAAATCAATTTACATCTTACTTCTTCAGAAAAATAAGAAATTCAAACCTAATTTTCTCTCCTTTGTTTAGGAAATAAGAACACATAAATAATCAAAATGCTTCCCTTAATTTGGAAGTAACTGTAACTTTGGTAAGGCAGTGATATTCAAAAATGCAAAGAAAACAGGAAACAAATTTTGGTAACAAATGCCTCCTTTATAAATAATTTCAGTTTCGCACATACAGTTATTACCGTGAGTGGGATCTGCACGTACATCAACCTTAAAAAATTTCTTTATTTGGTACTGGGAATCGAACTCAAGACCTTGCACTCACCAGGCAGGTGCCACAACGTTGAGCTATATTCCCAGCCCCTACTTATTTTAGATTAAAAAGGTTCTCTGAAGCCAGGTGTGGTGCAACATGCCTGTAATCCCAGCACTTGGGAGGCAGAGGCACGAAGACCATCATGAGTTCAAGGTCAGCCTGAGGGTACCTAGTGAGTTCAAGGGCAGCCTGGACTACACAGCAAAACGCTGTCTAAAAAATTGAACTGCAAGTAAAGAAGGTTCTCTGCCATATTAACTCTGGCAGTTAGGCTTGGTCATTAAGATAAACATACATCACTGAATAGTTTTACAATATTTGAATGCTTCCTTCCACTGAGGTCATCTACCTTCAAAATATTAGGCCCAAATTCTAGATCTTCCATTTAAAGAGTTCTATTTTTATTTATCCTATTACTACATCAAACAAGAAAAACAGCTCCATCTAGTGGGCATGACCTTAATTTTAAAATAATTTTCAACATTTAGCTCATCAATACCACAAAAAAAAACCCTGCACAACAGTAGAAAATCATTTATAAAGTATTACAAATGAATAATGAAAAGAAGCGTGACTAGCAAGCAAAAATATACTTGAAAAATGAAGTATTTTTTTGTTCCTCAAATTACTGAAAAACTAACCATTACTGTAATGTCTTTAAGACTAAAATTTCTTTAGAAGTTAATCTGTTGTCTAAGCTTTAAAAAACATTTAATATCAATTTTTAAAATGGGAAATTACATTTCATATATATACACAACTCAATGAATTTGTGAACATACGCCTCACAAAAAATAGTGTCTGTCATTTATGTTTAAGGTTGATTTATTTATTCATTTGGGACAGGGTCTCATGCACACAGTTCAGGCTGGCCTTAAGCTCACTTTGTAGCCCAGGTTGGTCTCGAACTCACAATGACCCTCTTGCCTCAGTCTCCAGAGTGCTGAGATTAAAGGCGTGTACCACCACACCTAGCACCAGTTGATTTCCTTTTTAAATGGATTTGTCTAATAAATATGTGTTCTTTATGATTTTGCAGTGTTTCTTTGTTCTTACAGTTCTGAGAACAGATTTAGTCACATGAAATAAATTCATATGCCCTTTACTTTGGGACAGGGTTATGCTACCTTGCTGTACTGGGCAGGCTAAGCTTGAAATTGGGGTTCCGCTGCCTCACTCACCGTCCCAGAGCACTGAGAGTAAGTATAGGCAAGTGCACACAGCCTCCCTGCAAGGCTTAGGAACCAAAACTTTCTGAGCACTAACAGAATTGCTGGATAATAGTCAAAGCACAAATTAGTCCACACTTTTATGAACTAAAATAGACATATAATAATGCCAATGAAAAGGAATACAAGCAAACTGAAAACAACAAATTAATAACTTACTTAGTTTGGTAAATTTCCTATCAGGCTTTAATCTTTGAGTTGAAAAGACAGCACAAACAGGGGGCTGGGGGTTTAGCTCAGCGGCATAAAGTGCCTGCCTTGCAAGCAGGCAGTCGTGAGTTCAATCCCTGGTACCGATAAAAATGAAAAGACAAAAAAAAAAAAAAAATGACAGCACAATCAAAGGACAAAGGCCAAACAACAAGGTAGCAAATTTGCCAGGTGTAGTTTTCATTGGCTAAAATGGTAATTTACACACAAATATAATTAATATAAATATATTCTTCCAATAATAGTTCAACCGCTCATTCTTTTATCCTGTGCTAAGGACTGAATCTACAATGGAAAGAAGAAAATATGTAAAGGAACTTATGTGGAAAGAGAAACAAAGCAAGGAACACAGGGCAAGTTTAAAAAAAAAATACAGGGCCAGGGATTTAGCTCAGTGGTTCATGCACTTGTCTGGTAAGCACAAGGTTGTGAGTTCAATCTCTGGTACCAAAAGTCAAACAAACAAACAAAAACAATGAAAAGTAACAATAAAAAAAAAGTGGAAAAAGTAAAAATAGGAGAGATGCCAACCTCTTCCTGTTAGTCGGTACTATTCATGGGCCACAGGGAGGATAAGAAACCAGCCACTTACTGTGAGTTGGCACCATGTGCTGCCCACAAGGAGGACAACCAGGGGCCAGCCTTTCTTGGTGCACAGGCTGGGAGACAAGAAGAGCCAAGGTCCCCTCTCCTGCCCAGTGACTGGCTGATCTGGAGAAACACAGGCTAACATGATACCTACTGCAGCAAAATACAACTTAATGCTTCTAGTCTTAGTGTTTCATTGACTTTGCAGGCCTAAAGCCAGTAATCTGATCATCTATTTAGAAGATAACAAAATGCACTACAGCATCTATGGGGGAATCTCCTTCTGAAGATGGTAGCTACTGCTCCATATTATCTTGTTTTAAAGTCCTGGATCACTTTCATTGTTTTGTTTGGTTTGGTTTTACTCTGTTTTGTGTTGTTTGATTTTGTTGTATCTGATGGCATGGGCAGCTATTTCAAAAATAACAAGATATATTATGGTAGCTATTTTGGATTTACTATTAACTTGTTTTGAAGTCCTGTATTGTGGATTCACTGTTCTGTTTTACTGGCTCCATTCTGTTCTATTTTGTTTCATTTTCCAATGTCTGATGATGTGGATAGCTATTTTGAAGAGGACAAGAGGCACTGCATTGTTGATTTTCTATTATCTTGTTTTGAAATCCTGTATCACTTACAGTTTTGTTTTGATTGGCTCTATTCTGCTTTATTTTGCTTGGTTTTATTCTCTTTAAAATAAAAAAAAATTAAAAATTAAAAAAAGGAGTAAAATTAGAATAAGCTCTCACTAGCAGAATGAACACACTGGTATAATCATATGATTTATATGACCTGGAGAGAAACCAGAGTATAACAAAAGCATATAATAAAACTACATACAACAGCAGTATTGAAGATACTCTAGGACCTATGCTATTAACAAACATGAAAATCTCTTTGAAAAGAATGGGCAGCTGAAAGTCATGTATAGAATACCATGTAAATAATTTAAGACTTAAAGCCATACATCATGCTATTTAGAGATTTACTCATCTGTAATTAATGACATGGAAACAAAAATAATAATTTAGGTATTGTTTTTTGTGGTTAGTGTAGAAGGAAAACAGGAATGGGGTTTTCATTATATTTTGTGTTTTATTTCTTAAGATTGGTGATGACCGTTGTTTTGTTATGCTCTCTACTTTTTGAAAGAAATAATTCAAAATGGGGAAAAAAGAAGTCTTTGAGAGAGCATTTTTCACTGTCATTTCAGGTGTTCTCTGCTCTGTCCTAGAGAAGGAGCTTGCAGAGAACTCGCTACCAAATAAAGCATATTTAGATCAAGCATGCAACTGTGACAGAAATAGCTTCCTGTCCGTGGAGGAGGCAGGGGAGGAGGAGACCCAGATTCTTTGGTCCGTGCACTGCGCTATTCACCAGCGCGGCCCTGAGCATTTTAGTAACCTCTGTCAGCTTGTTTCTTCGAGCATCAAATAACAAAATTCAATCACAGGTCTCTAAGGTGCCTGTACTAAATTCTACAATCGAAATGTTGGTTTCCACTTTTAATATCTGATACTTTATAAATGTACAAATGTTATATAAAATGTACTACTGGGAAACTCTACATCAAAAGAGGTCACGCTGCTGAGGTAGGCAAAGTCTTCTAAACAACATGCACAGCTAACCTTGTTGAGAACTTTACCAAAAAGTGTAATCATTTGGTTTTTACATTTGATATTGCAATGTATACATGGTGTACAAAAGCACCACCTTGATGTTCTAGTTTTGCTATCTGTGAGTTCTCAACCTTTAGCATGCATGTAACTTCATTTGATATCAACTGTACACTCTCCTCATTCCCAGGGCTGGAAGAGCTGACAATCTGCTCACATTTCTAACAAGTTGCAGGGACCACAGTCTGATAACCTCTCCCCTGTGGTTTTTCCTTCTTGACAGCTGGGAAACCAACCTGGGATCTTAGCAGTGAGCTGTATTCCCAGCCCTTCTCATTGAGACAGGCTCTCATTAAGTCACTACGTTGCCCAGCCTGGGCCTGAACTCGTGCTAGGGTTACAGATGTGCATCCCCTGCCCAGCTCCCCTGTGCTTTATTTAGAACTAGTCAAGACTTACTCCTTGGACAAAATTCTAGATAAGATCTTGGAGTCCTTTTCAACTAGAACTCATCCTTGGGCCTTGTCCCAAAAGAATGTTGCCAAGGTAGCCTAGAGAGATCCTCTCTCTGGTCCCCACCCCTCCTAGGGGACACTGAACACACTGGCAGGGCCAAATTTCAGGGGCAAGAAGCCCACCAAGTCAGTTTGGCCAAATCCTCACCCTCTTAATAATTTTCTACTTTCACTCTGCTCCTTGACTGTAATTCCCCATTTCTCCTTGCTATACTTGGACCTGAAACATTTTTAATGAAAAAATGAGAAACAAAATTTCATAACCAAATAATAAGGGAATAATAATAGTTATTACACTGTGCATCACTGTGTCTTCAAAGTAGTTACAAAAAGCATAGGATACAGACTAGAAAAACTGTTACAAGAAAGAAATAATACTAAACTTTCTTTTCAAGGAATTAAGATAAACTAGTATATACATTAAATAAATTAGCATATATTGAAATATTTTTAAAACAATAGAATATACAATTTGGGGAAGTATCTGAATTTCTCCTTATTTCCCATTTTGCTCTTTATTTGTGTGAGCATATGCATATACACAGTTTCTCATATAAGGGAAACCATGTAATATCTCAGCTCGTGTATCTGACTTATTTCATATTACATTCCCAAGTTGCATCCACTTACTTACAAAAACTTTTTTTCTTTTGTCTTTTGAGACTGGGTCTCCATGCATAGTTCAGACAGATCTTGAACTCACCATGTAACCCAGGCTGGCTTCAAACTTGTAGTGATCTTCCTGCCTCAGCCTCCCAAGCACTGAGATGACAGGTGTGTGCCACCATGCCCAGTAAATCTATCTCTGAGTCCAGTTCTGTGCTTAGTTCTCTTTTCCCTTACTGAAATAATTCCAGAAATCTGCTTTTATCACTCCAACCAATGTCCAGCATTGCTTTCTCTGACATCACCCACCAATTACAACAAATAAGGGGAAGGAATAAGAATAACAGGTGTTTGGAATAAAGGAACGGGGTGTCAGTAATAGCTCAGTGGTACAGCCTAGCATGCGTGAACCCTTGGGTGCAATTCAATTTCTAAAACTGCTGAAATAAATAAGATAAAGGGAATAAAATTGTGCTCTAGAAATACCCTGATTACTTTTTATGGGATGAAAGACATATCAAAAGCTCTTTTTTTTTTTCTTTTGTACCAGAAACCAAACTTAGGACCTTGCACTTGCCAGACAGGCACTGTGCCACTGAGCTATATCCCTGGCCCAAAAGCTTTTTAATCAAACATTAAATGGAACATTCAAAGCAAAAAAATAAGGATCATTTCAAGTTGTCCAAAGAATGCATCAGTACATACACAAGGGAAATAAATAAAAATATTATCATTTGGACTATGGTTTAAAAACTAGTATCATTGGGGCTGGGGATTTAGCTCAGCAGCATAAGCGCCTGCCTTGCGAGCAGGCAGTCATGAGTTCGATCCCTGGTACCGATAAAAAGGAAAAAGACAAAAAAAACAAAAAAACAAAAAACAAAACTAGTATCAGTGTCCTAAAATTATATCAGATGGTGACAAAAAAATCATTTTCTTAAAATTCAATGGCAATTCCACTAATACTTATTCTATAACCCAGAGGCATAGAATTCAGTTTAATAACATTTACTAAGCAGACCTAGGAAGCATAGATAGCAGAACTGGATATAAAATAGGAGCCTCAAAAAGCTCACCCTAGGGCTGGGGGTTTAGCTCAGCAGCATAAGCACCTGCCTTGCAAGCAGGCGGTCGTGAATTCGATCCCCGGTACCAATAAAAATGAAAAAAAAAAAAAAAAGCTCACCCTAATACGGGAAAAACACAGATGAATTATGGCACAATACAAGTAAACTTGTAAGAGTTGAAGAGGAAATTTTCTAGAGAGCAGCTAGAAATTGAAGTTATCAAGCAGACGATCTTTGTTTCCTAGCTCTTATTTTGCTCTTTATTTATGCTTTGAGTTTCTCATATAAGAGACACCATGCCCTACTTAAGCTTGTGCGTGTGATTTATGTCACTTAACATTATCCCAAGGTGCATCCATTTTCCTACAAGTAATGCAAGTTTACCCTTCTTTATAGCAGTATTGTAGTCTATTACATGTAAATATAACACTTTATCTGTTTATCTGCTGCTGAACATACAGGCCACTTCCAAGATTTCCCATTAGGAATTGTGCTCCTATCAGCATTTTGGAAAGGTGGACAATCAGCAGGTTAGACTGAAAAGTACAGTGACCATTAAAAGAATAAGCACTATGAATAAAAGACAGGCTAAGCCTAGAGGGAGGAAGATCCTTCAAGGAACCACTATTAGCATTACAGGAAAAAGTATGAACAAGTGAAGAATGGTTACAGTTGGAGATATTTAAGCATGACATTTATTCATTAAAAATGTACTGAGCTCCTAGAATACACTCAGCACACAGTCAAGCTCTTGGATGCAAAAATAAAAGCCTCTTTATCTTTGGCTAGCTCCCAGCCTAGAGGAGGTAAAAGTAAACAGAATTACAAAGTAATCTAATGATTACTCTAACATAAACTCTGAGCATAACCCAGATTTGGGAGGTCAAAGAAGCTTTCCAGGAAAAGATTTGAATTCTGAAAAGGAATTGGAGATGGTGAGAATAGCAAATCCTGGGAGGAGGAGGAGGATTTAGTGGGCTGTGGACATTCGGGCAGGAGGGACGCGGCCAGGAGGCTGCAAAGAGATGCCACAACCCGGGTCTGAGAAGCAGGTGGTGGAGTCCTGTGGGCGTCATCATGCAATCAAAGCTTCTACACTTGCAAGATACAGGATCAGATTTTCAGTTTAGGAAAACAGGTCAAATATAACTAATGCACGTGGGAACTAATTCACATCCATCACTTCAACCGAAGCCAAGGGGAAGGATCCCAGAGTGCTCACGGCTCCGCACTGACACAAGCATTATGATCCTCAACTAGGAAGCAGTGGAAGGTGCTATTCAAAGAAGTAAACTCTACCACCAGTTCAAAGTGGAGGGAGAACACTCAGTCATCACAAGATTTCTCATACATCAACTGGCTGTGGCAGAGGGCTTAGAACATTACACACTAGGACTTTCAAAAAAATTATTGTAAAAAAAAATTGTTGTAAGTGGACAAGGAGGGATACAGTTGTGTGGGGTGTGCTTCCTTACCAAGCCTGAAGCCCTGGATTAGATACTTGGTATTGAAAAAAATTTAATTTTTTGCTTTTGAGGGTTTAATCTGGATAATAATGTGTCAACGTTGTTTCATCAATTTTAACAAACATATTTCTCAGGTGATAAAATTTTGGTGTGGGGATGGCGTGGAGGTAGCAGAATCAAACTCAAGACATTGTGCTTGCCAGATCAGGTGGTAAAGGTTAATGCGGAAGCCAACGCATGTGTGGAAGCTAGAGATTTGTGGAAAATCTCCATACCTCTGCTCAATTTTTTTCAATTTTTTTTTTTCTTTTTCTCTTTTTATCGGTACTGGGGATAGAACTCATGACCACCTGCTTGCAAGGCAGGTGCTTATGCCGCTGAGCTAAATCCTCAGCCACCTCTCTGCTCAATTTTACTACAAACCAAAACTGCTCTCAAAAATAAGTGTTTTTTTTAACTTTAAATAAAATTCCAATACACTGACATTACACCTTATCCTAAGTCGTTCCAGCAATTAATTAATGGTTTTATTTACTCTGCCTCATAAATGTGGAGAATTAAAGGACAATTATTAGTAACACTGTTAATACAAATAATACCAATTCAAAATACTCTTACTGATATATTCTGTTCTGCAATATCAATAAAAAATATTCCAAATAGAAAAAATTTACATAACAAGCCTGTACTTCCACATAAGTTTCTCAAACAACAAAACCTGAATTAGCAATAAAAAGAAGTGCTTCATATCATACAATGCACATTTTTCAAAATAACTGACACTGGGTTTAAAAAGTTAAATTATAGTCAGCAAAGTGGGGCACACCTGTAACCCTAGTATTCTGGGAAGCTGAGGCAGTGGAACCATAAACTCAAGTCCAGCCTGGGCAACTTGATGCCTTAGTGAAACCTGGTCTCAATATTAAAACTAAAAAAGGGATGGGGATGTAGCTCAGTGAGAAGACTCTGGGTTCAATACCAGGTATCACAAAAGAAAGCAAAAAAGAAGGAAACTGGTAAATGCTACAATATGAATGAATTCTGAAAGCTAAGTAAAATAGGATATTTACAAAAAGACAAATATTGTTTAATTCCATTTGTATGGTCCTCGAGTCCATCCTGTAATTATTTCCCCTCTTCCAGAATGTATAACTGAGATTAAAAGTAATTAAAATCATAGGGACAAAAAAGAGAATGATGGTCGTCAGGGCTGGAGTTACTGTGGGTGCCAAGTTACAGCTCTGTAAGATGAAGACTTCGTATGACATAAGATAGTGATGGTTCCAAAACAGTGTGAAAGTATTTAGGAATGGCTATCAGGGCTGGAAGGACAGCTCAAGGGCAGCAAGTACAGCCTTGCCTAGCACGCATGAGACTCTGGGTTTGACCCCCAGTACTGCAAAATAATAATGTTAATTTTTTTTTAAAGGCTAGTATAGTAAATTCTATGTTACATTTCATCTAACAAACTGGAGGAAAAAATAGTGGAAGTGTTATTAACATGACAATCCATCATTTAACCCTGACAATAATTCTATGAGCTTAATGCTATCATTTTCATAATTTAGACAAAAAAACACTTAAAGAAGTAACTGGTCACACAACTGGAACCGGTTCCGCCAGGCACACTTGTGGATGCCTATTGTTGGCTGCTTCCAACTGAGGCAGAAGATCCCAAATGAGGCAGGTTACTTAAGCTTAGGCACCTGAGGCCAGCTGGAGCAACACATCAAGAGCTTTCCTCTTTAAAAAAAAAAACAGTTGGGATGCAGGTGGTCTTAATTCTGACCTACCTGATGATTTTTATACCTAACCCAAAGAGGGCAGAGGAGAATGCAGCAGAGAAAGTTACCAGAATGAATTTCTGTGTTTTAAAACATGTAGCAGTTTAGTAAAGCAGGTTGAAGGAAGTCTCATGGTTTTCTTTTTAAAATATTTTAACTATGTAAAAATACTTTCCATCGCAAATGGTCAAGTGCTTCCTAAAGTATTGCATTACTTGTGATACTTGACAATATTTTTAATTTCTTATTTTGAAATAATTTCAAACATATAAAATAATATCAAGAATCAAATAACTCGGGTCATGGGTTTAGCTCAGCAGCATAAGCACTTGCCTGGAAAGCATGAGGTCATGAGTTTGATTCCTGGTACCAAAAAAAATTTTTTTTAATCAAATAATTCATATATCATTCAACTGTATCTACTATTAACATCATACCACAATTTGATTTCTTTTATTATTGCAATTCATTATTACTCACTGTCACTGCAAACCATGAGTATATTACAAACATCTTTTACTCCCCAAAATGTGGGTGTTCTATTTCCTAAAAACAAGACCACTGTCTTTTCTTACAGCAGCTCGCACCTTATTAATTCGGGAGTTTTTCCCTGCATGCAAGTATAAAACCTATGCAGACCACAAGCTCTGATCCTGAATATACTGCCAGCCATAATACAGTGTACTTAACAGTTAATACAGCACTAATAGTTCACATTCAATTATGCCAACTGTCCCAATGGCACCCTTTAAAGTATCCCTTTCCCCCTCAGAGTCCATTACAGACAGAATCATGCATTACAATTAGTTACATTTTTCAGAAGACTCAGCTTTTCCTTGTCTTTCCTGTGACTCTTTGCTCAGAAGTATCATATATAGAGTGGCTAAGACCACAGGTGTGACGGTTAATTCACAGTGTCAATTTTTTTTTTAAATTGGGACCGGGACTCATGACCCCAGCTTGCAAGGCAGGCGCTAATGCCACTGAGCTAAATCCCCTGCCCCTACAGTGTCAATTTGACTAATTGGATTAGAATAGTTCTGGGTGAGCGGCACCAACTAACAGGTCTGTATCGGGGGCTGGGGATTTAGCTCAGTGGCATAAGCACCTGCCTTGCAAGCAGGCAGTCGTGAGTTCGATCCCCGGTACCGATAAAAAGGAAAAAGACAAAAAAAAAAAAAAAAAAAATGCTGCTAACAGGTCTGTATCCTGAATGGGATAAAAGGGAAACCAGGAAGGCTCACTTCTGTTCCTGCTGCAGAGCTCAGGTCTTCACCTCAGATGTCTCCCTGCTCCCCTTCAGCCCCTGACATGGACTCACCCGGGACATGGCAGTAAGCTCGCAGCTTTGGACCTGCGACTGGATCCTTCGGGTCCCTGGTGCACAGACTAGACCTCTGCACTCTTCCACGGCTGACTCTGTGGGCAGCCACTGTAGGCCGGCCTTGTATTTATGTATCTCACATTAAATCTGCTTCTCTGAGCACTGACAAAGTTTTTGCTACCAAGACTGGCTCTAGAGAAAACAGAACTGTAAAGATAGAATTCTTAATGGTGTTAGTGGTTCCTGAAGTTTGCTCTCTAATTTGGTGAGACACCATGGTCTCTCCTTGTGACACAGCAGGGAATACTGATAGCCTTGGTGTGAACTGTCTGAAGCAATATGCAATGTAGGTATACATTTGATTATCCTAATTTACCACTTATGAGGAATTAGCCACTCTATATATTATACTTCTGAGCATTTCTGGCAGAGTGGGCAATATGATGCTGGCTAGTAGCTCTTAGCATCTCTGGACGAACTCGAGCTCAAAACGCACAGTAAAAGTCTTAACTGTGAAAGCAAATTCATAAAGGAAAATAAGAAACTCAAAGACTCAATTTCTCAGCTTCAGACCCAAAAGGATTTTTTTTTTTGAGTTAGAGTCTCACTGTGCAGTTCAGGCTGACCTTGAACTCATAATGTAGCCCAGACTGGCCTTAACTTGGCAATGGGGCTCCCTGCCTCAGCCTCCTGGGTACTGGAATTACAGGTATGCACTAGCATCTAAAAGTTAATGAATATGTTATGAAAGACCCTTTAGTCCCAGAGCCTACTGCAAAAATCCAGACACAAGCCCTCATAATATGCTTGGCTGAAATACAGTGTAAGTTTAATGCTCAGCCTTGAAAGGTATTTTAAGTAAGGGGAGAACATTGATTGGAAAAGAATGGCATCCCATAAATCGGGAGGGAGATGTCTGAGGACATCCTGATGAAGCTGAGGAGGCTGAGCTTGTAGAAGCTCATGAGATTACAGTATTTTGCCAGATGAAGAGATGTCCCCACCCACAGTGTCAGGCGTCCTGGCCCCTGAGGTACTGGCCTCTCCTATACCTGAGGAAATTAACCCAGTGTTGACCAAGCATGATAATACTGACACCCCTCAAGATCAACACACATTTTTGCCTCTAGGCCTAAAGCCAGGCTCAAATCACAGAAGGTCCTAAGGGTAAGGTCAGGAGATCTGCTGTTCCCAGAATGAGTTTCTGAGTTTGTCCAATAAGTAGAGATGTTGAATTTAATGTGGCAGTTCGTGGAGTGAACAAAGGTGTTAACAGTTTATTTGGCTGGTTGACAGAAGAATGGATCAAAAGGTGGTCCACTGTGAATGAGTTAGAGGTACCTAAAATTCTTTGGTTTACTGTTGATGAGGGGATTCAAAGGCTAAGGCAAATGGGAATACTGGAGTGGATCTGTCATGTTAAACCTGGCCTGCCCCACTGGGATAATCCAGAAAATGTACTCTTCACTAACACCTTGCAAAACAGGTTCGTGAGTGGAGCTCTGGCATCCCCGAAGATCCCTGTGGCTGCTCTTCTCTCCATGCCAGGCCTTACAGTGGGGACCACAGTTAACTCAGTTGGAAACTTAAGGGCAATGGGCATGGCTGGATCCTGAGTGGCACAGGTCAAGGGGCAGCACTTAGCTGCCAAAGGCAAAGTGCTTGCACTTACCAAAATGGACAGCAAAAGCAGAATAGTGATCAGAATTGGTCTATGGCAGTGGCCAATCAGCCACAGTATTCCCAAAGGTGAAACAGACACAAGGCCTACTGAATTTTTACTAGATTTATATAATCTTAAAAAAAAAAAAATTAAGGGCAAATGAACAGAAACCTACTTCAAATCACAGTAACAGAATCACAACCTCTCAGCTAATTCCCAGAGTTGAGCTTGTTTATAGACCTAGAACCCTTTGAATGAAGGAGAAGCAAGGTCCCCTTGATGGGGTACCTTTGTGCACTACCAAAAATCTATACAATCTTTCTCCTATCCTTCCCCAAAGGGACCTAAAGGCCTTTTACCTGGGAACTACATTTGAGGAAGGGAAATTATCAGACATTCCTAGGGCTACTGGACACTGGCTCTGAACTATCACTGATTCCAGGGGATCTAAAACCTCACTGTGGCCTTCCGGTGAGGGAAGGGGCCTGTGAAGCCAGGTGATCAACATAGTTTTGGCAAAGGTCAGATTCACAGTGGGTCCAAGAGCTCCTCAAACCCATTTTGTAGTCATTTCCCCTCTTCCAGGATATATAACTAAGACAGGTAAACTCGGTACTCAGAATCTTCATGTTGGTTCCTTAACCTGTACTGTGAGACTGATTATAGTTGGAATGGTCAAACGGAAGCCATTACAGTTCCCTTTATTGGGTAAAATAGTAAACAGAAAGCATTACTGTATCCCCGGAGGCACTGGCACTATCAAGGGGTGGTGGTTTCCACATCTCCATTTAATTCTCCCAATCTGCCTGTCCAGACAGGTCTTGGCGAGTGACGCGAGATCACCATAAAGTGAGCCCAGTGGTAACTCGGATTGCAGCTGCTGTACCAGATGTGTTTTCCTTGCTTGAGCACATTAACTCATCTCCTGGTACTTGGTATGCAGCTAAAAGAAGACAAATGCCACTTTTACCGTATCTATCCAGTAAGTCCGCTGAAGACTGTTTGCTTTTAGCTGATAAAGCCAGCAGTATTGTCTTACTTCAGGTTTATATGAACTCTTCAGACCTGTATCACAATTTAGTTCGAAGGCATCTTGATCACCTTTATCTCCCTAGTCCCTTACACTGATGATAAGTAAGCCAGAGGGAGCAGGAGGGAAGCATTTCTTAATAAAGTATTTGTGAACCAGAAGATGGGAAACAAACCCAAATGAAACTCAAGGTCCTTCTATCTCAGTGACATTTCTAGTGGTGTGGGGCACATAAGGCTATCCCTTCTAAGGTAAAAGATGTTTCACCTGGCTCCCCCTATGGCCAAAATAGGCATAACACTAATGGGCCTATTTTGGATTTTGGAAGCAACACTTTCCTCACTTAGGTGTTTCACTCAAGACTATTTGCAGAAGGAATCAGAAAACTGTGAGTTTTGAGTGGACCCTAGAACAAGAGAAGGCTCTGAAACAGGAGCAGGCTGCTCTTCCACTGGGGCCAAATGATCCAGCAGATCCAACAGAACCTGAAGTGTCAGGGGCAGAGAGCGCTGCTGTTTGGAGTCTCTGGCAGGCCCCCATATGTGAACTACAGTAGAGATATTGGGATTTTGGAGTAAGGCTCTGCTGTCATCTGCAGACAACTTCTTTCCCTTTGAAAAATTGCGTCTGGCCTGCTCTTGGCCTTTAATGGAAACTGAACGCTTGACCATGGGATACCAGGTTACCACGTAACCTGAGTTGCCCAGAAGCTGGGTATTATCTGATAAACTGAGTTAGAAAATTGGATGTGCACTGCAACAGTTCATAATTAAATGGAACCAGTATATAGGTGATCGATTCAGAGAAGTCCAGAGGATAGAAAGTTATATGAAGAAACTGTTCAGATGCCCAAAGCTCCTACTCCTGCTATACACTGCCTTCTGTCTTCCAGAGTGAACCTATGGCCTTGGCGGGATAGCAGGGGTGTGTGTGTGGGCAGCGCATGATCGGATGTCAGAGATTTCTCCCAGAGACTAGTAGAAGCAGACAGGATTTTACTCTTAATGACTGTGAGGAGGTAACTGATTTAAAAAATTAAAGCCAGGAGTGATGCCACAGTCCTATAATCCAAGGGCTCAAGAGGGTAAGGTAGGAGGACTGCTGTGAGTTGGAGGCCAGCCTGCATGATGAAACCAAAATCCAAAACATTAATTAATATTAATTACTTCCAGGCATGATGGCACACACCTGAAATTCTAGAACTCAGGAGGCTGAGGGAAGAGTTCAAGGCCAGTTTAAACTACACAGAAAAACTCTGTCTCAAAAACAAAAGGGCCAGGCATGGCAGTGAGCATCTGTAATCCTAGTACTCTGGAAGCTGAAGCAGGAGGATCATCATGAATTCGAGGCAAGCCTTCAATACATAAATAAATTCAAGGGCAGCCTACACTATTTAGTGAGACTTGTCGCAAAAAAAAAAAAAAAAAAAAAAAAAACCTAAATAAATAAATATAAAAATTGTAAAAACCCCCTAGAAAAATATGTATATATTGTTATATACTGTTTTACAGCTTTTATTGAATATGAAAACAATATCACCATTTCAAGGATATCCCACATGCTCTACAGATAACAAGAGAGCCAGGCATGGAGACATATGCCTATAATCCTGACAACTCAAAAAACGCTGAGGCTAATCACAGCAAGTGAGACCATTTCAAAAAATAAAAAGGGGCCAGGCATGGTGGTATAGCCTTGTAATCCTAGCACTGACTCAGAAGGATCACTATGGGTTTGAGGGCAGCCTGAACAACACAGTGAAAATCCTGTCTCAAAAAACAGCAACAAAAAAATAAAAGAGGGTAGGGACATAGCTCAGTGGTAGAGCACTGAAATAGTCCATGCACACGGCCCTAAGTTCAATCTTCAGTGCCAAAACAATAATAATAGATGGACTTGTTATGTAAGTACCGAATGTTAACCGCTTGCGCCACTCGAGCTCCAGGATTTGTTATATTAATAAGCATTTATTCCTTTAAACAACTGTCCAATATCAAATTCATAAGTATAAGTATCCTTGATTTCTTTGCATTACCGCACTGTACAAGCTGTATTCCAACAGACTAATAAAGATGCACTGTAGTAACAAAGAGCTCAAAGATAAGTATCCTACAAAACTGCCTGAAAACCCACTCATGGGCTGGGAATGTGGCTCGTTAGTGGAGCACTTGCCTAGCAAGCTTGAGGGCCTGGGTTTCATGGCTCATACTGCAAGCAATCAGCCATTACCTGTGTGATCCTGACAGTGTCCTTCAAATCACATAAAGAGAAAACAGCTAAAGTGGGATATGCAGGGAGCATGTGTGGCCCTTAGCTCTTTCCCAGCCTCCTTGTTCTGTGTTACTCCCTAGCTCTGTGGCTGACACAAGTTTGCTCCTGTTGCTAAATTCCACACTGGATGTCCTCTTGGAGCTTACATTATAGCAAGAAAAACTTCTTAAAAGAGTTAATTATTCAGTTTATTATTTAATACATAATGGGTTAAGGAAAGTAATGGTGAAAGAAGCAGTCACACTTCTACACAGGGAAAGGGTAGCAGAATTTGATAATAAAGGATGTTCCTACTCTGGGGAAAACGAAACTTTTTGACTCTGATCGCCCCTGCTGACAACCCTCCTCCTCCTCTTCCTGTACCAGCTGCACCCTAACCTGATTAGCAAACAGCTTCACAGTATCCTGTCCTCTCCCAAACTCCTCTGGGCCCCTGGCGTAATAAAGGTTGGTGCCTCCAATTCTCTGAGTGCCACTCCGTTTCTCAGCTTCCAGTATACCTAAAAATGCTGCAGAACTACAAGAGCGTAAGTTCACAGAAACTACACAGTTGAAACTTTTTTTTTTTTTTGGTGTGGTGCTGGAGATGACATTCAAAGGCTTTACGGTAAGCTCACTAGCTCTTTTTTAAGACAAGATCTTGCTAAGGAGCTGGGCTTGAAGTGTGACCCTCTTGCTTCAGTTTCCCAGTGTACTGGCATTACCAGGATGCACTACCACACATGGCTTCTTCTATTTTCTTTTTTGGACCCTACCAAGATATTTCTCTTTGTGCTTTCTACTATCAGGAAATTTTGTTTTTTCCTTCTCCATGAGACAAAATAATAGTTAGTTAGTATTTTTCCACCCAACTCAATAGTGAAACATGCTGAAAAATATCAAAAGAATAATTTCAAATATGATATATAAGATCCACTTCAACTTCAAAATGTTTTTTTCCTCCCAAATCTTCTGATATGCTTTTGTCCTACTTCTTCTCATCTAAGACAAAAAAGACTTAAACATTTAGAAATCACATGGAGCCAGATATGGTGTTGCATGAGGGTAGTCCCAGCACTAGGAAGGCTGAGGCAGGAGGATTGCTGTGTGTGGTCAGCGTAGATTATAAAACGAGTTCAAGGCCAGGCCACACTGCTTAGTGAAATCCTGTCTCAGAAAGCCGGGGCAAGGAGGGTGGGGAAACACACATAGAAATCACACAGAGGACATTTTCATTCTGTATTTGCTACTAAAACCTGGAATAGGGTTGAGGATGTAGCTCAGTGGCACAGCACCTGCCTGGCAAGCACAAGGCCCTGAATTCGATTCCTGGTATAAAAAAAAAAAGCACTAAAATATACAAAGTAAGGTACATTTATTATTTTTCCCAGTGTTAGGGAACGAACTTAGGGCCTTTACATTAAGCTACATTCCAGGTTTTTAAAAAATTTGAGCCAGGGTCTCACTAAGTTGCCCAGGTGAGACTCAAACTGGTAATCTTCCTGCCTCAGCCTCTCAGGTGCTGTGATCATAGCACATGCAACCACACCAAAAATAAGATACTTTTATAAAGATAACATTTATACTATAAAAAATCAATGTGGGAGTGATTAGAATATAAAATAAAATTTTACAAGAAAATTTTATAATGAAGATAATATTTCAATGGCTTTGCCAAATTACTGAAAAACTGAGCTGCAATCTTAGTGATGTTCCACAGAGGGAGCTAACATCACAAAGAATAAAGTCATTATATGTGAATTTCGGGGAAAGACCTGGTGTGTTAGAATACTGGATTTCTGTCCAGCACCGCTGAGCTCAGGTTATCCTGCAAGGCTTTACCTTAATGATTTGTCAGCCAATCATCTGGGTCAACAACTCAAATCACAGCAGTATGCTATGCGGTTGCACCTCAGTTTCAAAAAGGTGAATCATAAAAATTCATTTATTCCTTTCATACTGGTAAAAGATTTTGTTCACTTTTCATCCTTTTTGATGAAATCAGCCCTTAATCCTCTAGAGAATGGAACTGGCCCACATAACACAGCTTCGGTAAGAAAGTGACGTGGGCAAAGTTCCTGTTAGACGACAGGCAGTCAGGACACCTTCAGCTATTTTAATGTGACAATCTGAGTGCAGACTGGTCTCAAGGCAGCTTCACTGGCAGATTTATAGCTCTGACTATCATGACAATCTGAGCTTTCAAGTTTTCTGATTACTGATCACATATTTCCTGACCTCTTTTTTGTGTCTTTGTGAAGACTCACTCCCATCTTGGCGAGGCTGCTGTTGATCACGATGGTCAACGACTACTATGTTCCATTTCCCCAGAAAGGCAGGGGTGGGAAAGAGGTTACTCAAGTTTGCTCATTCTAGTTAACACACTACTGTGAAATCCAAGTTATAAATAAGAGTAAAATTCTCATGCAAATTTCATTTTCTATGGCTGGTACTGGTATGGAAGAAGTTTGATGGATTTAATATATTCTCCGTAGAGACAATTCAGTCATACATAAGGCATGTAATAATTTTGTCACATGCCATAATCTTGGTGTATCAGGAACCAATGTCATTATGAGTATTAATAAATAAACAATCTATGGAGCCTGGTGTGGTGGTGCATGCCTGTAATCCCAGTGCTTGGGAGGTAGGAGGATCAAAATATAAAACCAACCTCTGCTACAAAGCAAGATCCTATCTCAAAAACCAAAAACCAAAAACCAAAACCAAAGCAAAAAACCTAAAAAAAAAAAAGAAATTTATCATAAATATTAAAACTGGTTCAACTGTGGGACAAACTAGGCAAGTTCAAAGGTCCACCAAGGACCAGAGATGAGTCCCTAATGAGCGTGAGAATGTCAGGCTGCTGCAGTGAAATCTGTGCAGGGGGCTGGTCGGCAGCTGACAGTGTGCAGCTGCTACCAAAGTTTCCAGTGGAGACCTGGTGACCGCTTGGCATGGTGGTCGGGAAGGTGAAGGGGGACAGGAGTGACTGAAGACAGGCGGGAATTCTGCCCATACTTTGTGTCCACTCCCCACCAGGAATCAGCGACAACCTTTGGAGTAGAGCTTCAGCTCTACTTATTCCACAAACCACATACAAACTTCTGCTGTGATTAAATTTAATCTGACAGCGCCAAGGAGAAGAGGAAATTCTGGGAAGTGTAGGTCTGGCTGACACAGTTTAAAACCTTAACTAGAAAGGAAAAAAAGGTGTGTGTCACCATGCCTAGGTCTAGTTAAGATTTTTTTTTTTTTTCATTTGCTCAGTAAGTTCTCCTACTCTTAACCTCTGTTGGTCCTTCGAATTCATTCTTCAACTTCGGACAACACAAACGCAGTGCACTGGGTATCTAGTAGGGTGGGAGTTACAGTATTTCCCTTTATCGTCTTAGAGGGCCCACTAAGGTCTTTTGAAGGAGCTACCTGTGATAGTACACGTCAAGCCAGCATGAGATCACTGGTCAAATGACAGTTTCTTTTGATGTGATCTGTATGTTATATATGTGTCACGACACTTAGACAAGCAAGGAGCAGTCCAGACAATGTCACATGCTTCCTCTATGACATCCTATTAAAAGATAACAAATCAGGTGAGAGCTTCTTTATGTATAGATGGAGATGACTGACTAAAAAGGTTACCCTATACTCAGACTTTTAAATGTGTTTCAAAGATAGTATCATGATTGTCACGCTGAAACACTGTGTGTGGCTCTTGATCTCAAATTTTCTCAGTAAAACTATGTAATTGTTGCCTGTTAACATTCTGCAGGGATTCTATCACTAAAACAACCATAAGCCGGGTATGGTGGTGCACACCTGTAATATCAACACTCAGAAGGCTGAGGCAGGAGGATCGTTTTAAGTTTGAGGCTACCCCAAAATTCATAGTGAAACCCTGTCTCAAAAACACAGGGGAAAAAATTTTTGGTAAGAAGTAACAACCTCTGGGTATACTTTTATATCAAAGTGCTTGATATTCGGAGATTATAATAATTAAACTGCTCCCTCTGTAATATCCTACTCAGCTCAAAGCAGCTGGATGGAAACTATCCCCCTTCTCCCCTAACTGCAGTTAGGGATAGCTCTTTAGAGAACGGAACATTACAGACAGCTAAATTACATAGAAATCTTATGGGCAGTCAGACAGGGCTGGACCCTCTAAGAAGTCAGTTGCCCAAAATGAGACCACATCAAAACTGTGACTGTGGTGCATCTGAAGAAGATTAAAATCACAATGGCCCAATTTACAGACTTCCCTAAGGGGGAAACAGAAGCTTGAGATTATTGGTACCACTTTTGAGATTCTCATTAGGGTGGGCCATCCTCTCCCACCCAGTAGACAACTAAAACTGGGATTACAGGTTAATGATGTCTTTCATATACTCTTATTAATATTACCTAAGCAACTATATTTATAATCTTATTAATCATAATTTTGTCCCATATTGTACCTACTTCATGACTGCTCTATGATAAAGCATCCTTTGAGAGATGGGCTCATTGGCAACCCACTGAAGATTCCTCCTATCTCTCAGGAGCTAGTCCTATTTCTCATTTCTTTTTTCTATTTCTTTTCTCCAATAAATCTTAAAAAAAAATCTACAGAGGACAAATTAACCTGTTCACAGAGGAAAGTATTAATCCTGCTGCTTGCATCAATCATATCACAGCTTTTCTACTTTTCCTAAACCAAATCAACACGTGGGGTCTTCAACATGTAGAGTAACGAAAAGCAAACTTGAGCAAAGCCATTCAGTTTGGAGAAACAAATGTCACTGCTGAGCAATTTTTCCCTCTTTCCTGTCTTCTCCAAAGAATTAGCAAGCACATATGTGAGAGGTATCACCACGTGTGCACGCAGTCTGAATCACCAGATTTCAGGAACTGAGAATGTTTCCAGTGAAAACAGTTACTGCACAAAATGCAATAACGAGAAAATTAGTGCCATCACTGTGTTGTCATTGTGAGCCAATAGGAAAGTCCCAAATATTTTTTACAATATCATGTTGTATAAGACTGTTTTGAACAAATTCAAGCAACAATAATGTTTCATGAAGCATATAGTCATTAACTGGATAATGAAATTATGTATCTGTATCTCCCCCACCCTGCAGCTATACAGTGAGACCCTATCTCAAAATTAAAGACAATGAGTCATTTGCTGTAACTTTTATTTTTTAATTTAAGTATTCACCATGTATTTCAATCACACTGAGTATATGGTGTCTGATGATCAAATCAGGGTAATTAGCATTTCCATCTTCTCAAACATTTCCTTGTGTGATTTTGGCTATTTTAATTACAAAGACACAAATCGGAGCAGCTTTCAAGAAGAGCTGCTGTTGAGTATTTTAATTAATATTTTGCTCTTACAGTACCATATTCATCTGAGCTTTCTTCAGTGCAGAGGTCAAAAACTACAAGACAGAGAACCAGAAGCCAAAAGGATTAAGATTCCAGCTAATGTCAACTCAACTGAGTGACAATACTACCCAATGAAAAAGATAATGTAATGTTAATCACCAATGAGAAAAGAATTTATGAACTTACATCCAATAACTGATAAATCTAAAAAACTGTTGACTGAAAAGGTCTTATACAAAAAAAAGAGGTCTTATACAAATGACTCCATTTATTAGAAATTCTAGAATAAGCAAACTTTTTAAAAAACTCTAAAATATTAAACACTAATTGACAATATATGTGTTAAAATAGTTATGGGAGCCAGGCCTGTAGCACATGCCAGGGCTACAAAGTGAGTTCAAGACCAGCCTGAACTGCACAATGAAACTCTGTTTCAAAAAGAAAAAGAAAAACAAACAAACAAAAACACATTAGAGAGTAAAGAAAACTAAGGAAATACCAAAGGAAGCATTAAAATGTGCCAACATTTACCAAGAACTATGATTCAACTAGACGGCATAGTTAGCCTTCAATTTCTCAAATTCATACTTCTGCCACATTACTTAGCAATGTGTTTACATAACATTTAATATTAAGCTGGGTGTGGTGGTGCACACCTAGAAGCCCAGCACTGAGAGGCTCACGAGAAAGATCACTAGAAATTCGAGACCAACCTGGGCTACAAAGTGAGCTCAAGGCCAGTCTGAACTGCATAGCAAGACCCTGTGTCAAAAGACAAATAATAATAATAATAATAATAATAATAATAATAACAGCAGCAGCATTTTCCTTACACATAATAGGGAAAAAAGTAGACTAGCTGTACAATAGAGGCATATAAAATGATTTTTAAAGCTTCTCCCCTTGAATACTCTTAAAATATTCAAAGGCTGGAGATAAATTTAAAAATTCCCAAGCCTATCATTTTTAACCAAAATCATCTCAGCTCCTGACAGGTGGTGTTCTTTTTAAACGCCACCTTAGGAAAGAAAAATAGCAAAGAAAATATCCCAGAATCCTATGTTTTTCTAAAAATAAAATAGAATCCTAAGAGAAGTACATCAAAACTTTTAAAGCTAATGAAATTATCCATATTACAAGCTTTATATTTAAAGTATTTTAGTGGTTTTTTTAAAAAACACTTTTTTTTATTTTGAGGCATTATACTGCCTGCTGCGTTGATCTCAATCATGCCCACTTCAATGCCACATATTTTACATAGACAACTATTTCCAGTCTTAACCTTATGTAATATAAATAATCTAGTAAAAATTATTCCAATCCTACCATGCATACGGCCAAAGTGTTAATTACACACCTTTGTATTTTATGTAATTTTTGAAATGAGATTGTTTATAAACAACTACTTCCTAAACAAAGAAGTGTATACAGCCTAGGTTTAATAAACTTACAGTTCCTTGTGCTTGTCTTCAGCCAAGATTTGGTTATTTGGTCTCAGAGAATATCTGCAATACAGAAACAGAAGTACATTTGTCTATGTCAGCACCTGATCACAGTTTTGAAAGTCTGTTAGTTTGTTTTGAAACAGGGTCTCTCTATGTAGTTCAGGCTGGCCTTGAACTCACTATGGAGCGGAGGGTGGCCTTGAACTCAAACTCACAGTGATCCTCCTGCTTCAGCCTCCTGAGTGCTGGGATTATAGGTTTGCCTTGTCTCCATCACAGTATTAACATACAGTCGATTATTGACTACCAAACAAGCACTGCTTCTGGTATCTGTTTCAACTGACAAAACACCAAGAAGGTCCAAGCAGATGGCTCTATTAGTCACTTCCTCAGATACCACAACAGGGAGATCAATTCGACCAGCTTGGTAACACAAGAACCCTTCAGTGAATCATAGGCAACATTACTCTCAATCCAACATTCAAAACTCCACTACTACAAGGCTTCATGTTTATGTGTTCACAAAACAATGTGCAGTTATTCACTCATCACATATAGAATAAGCATCTACTATGGACCAGCTATGTACTAAACAGTGTGACCCAGGAGGAAAAAAACATTTTGCGAGTTTTGGACTGAAACACCTCTCTCACTGATAGACTACAGGCAAGTATTCTACCTTCTTGCCTCAGTTTCCCTGCCTATAAAATACAGATTGCTGTAAGTATTAGATCAGGGGTCTTTCACAGTACCACAGTATTTGCTAAAAGTAGGACTGAGGGGTACACAAAAAAAGATAACCCACAATGAATAGTCACACCAGGTCTTCAATTTCCATCTGTACTGAAGTCTTTCTTAAAACTAATTTGCGTAACAGATACCCAAGTGCTCTTCCCTGCCTTCCCTTTCAAAGATGCCTTTACCTACTTTATAAAGAAAGGTATACCCCTGTCCATCTCTACCATAACCACACCACTGGGGTGCAAAACTTTTATGGTGCTAAGCAAAGAACAAGCCATAAGATTTTGTCTGCAAAGCACGTTTTGTTTTGTTTTCTTTTGGACAGGGTCTATTAGTTCAGGATTACCTTAAACTCTCAATCATCCTGTCACAGCCTGGCCAGACTGGAATCACCAACATCCACCATCATACCCAGTCTGCAAAACACTCTAATAGTACCATGAACTAATTCAAGAGTTTCCTGTTTGAAACATTATTTACGGAAAGAATGAAATTAGGAATGTGGAACTATAATGTTTTACTTTCCAGTGTTTTGAAGTTGGGGAGAAGTTCATTACAATTTTCATCTAAAAAGTTTATCACTCTTATTCCATGTTCATCGTTAGAGAGAGTGCTGTGAGCCAAAGCCAAGAGTGTTCAATAAAAGACAAGGAAGACAGGGTCACCAAGGCAATAATCTAAGACAAGGCTCCTTCCCCTCCCTCCAGCTACTGAGCATTAAGTATCAGTAGAAGGGACTGAGGTGTAGCTCAGTGATACAGCAACTGTCTAGCATGCACAAGGCCCTGGATTTAATCCCCAGCACTGCAAAACAGAAACAGCCAGGTATGGTGGTGCAGAATGGCAGGAGAGGGGCACCTCAGAGGCTGAGGTAGGACAATCCTGGAGGGACAACACAGTGAAAAAGGAAACAGATCGCTGTCTCAGAAACATGTATTAACATCGCTGTGTCAGGAACACATATTAACACATTCATTTGAACTGAAAAATGAAGTCAGACTTGTCTAGCATGAAAGTCTGACTGGTTTGACAATGAGCAGTTTTTCCAAAAAAGGATTTGGAGCAGACAATGGCCTTAAAGTGATTAGTTTTAATCAAAATTTAAGGCCTTGATTAAAAACAATGTATCTAGCCAGGCATGCTGGCCTACGCCTGTAATCTAGCATTTGGAAGGCACGAAGATCGCTGCAATTTTGAGACCAGCCTGGGATACAAAATGAGCTCAAGGCCAGCCTAAACTCCATACAGAGAGTCTGTCTCAAAGGGACCAAAAAAAAAAAAAAAATTACTCCTCTCATCTCTAGGCCCCCTTTCTATTTAGAAAATTTCTGATGCTGTCTATAAAAGATCTGCCTTGTTCCTTATCGCTCTTTTCTTTTGTTTTTTAAGTTATTTATTCTTTGGGCCTCTCACATGTGATGTTTAAGCTTGTGTGCTGATTTATTTCACTTAACATTACAGTCTCATGGTGCCCCTCTTCACGGCAGAGTATTATTCTGTTGTGTATAAAGACCACATTTTCTTTATCCATTCATCTGCTGATAGACATATGGACCGCTTCTAAGATCTAGCTATTGTAAACATACTGCTATAAATGTAGGAATGCATTTAATGTAATATGATGTCTTTAATTCTCTCAGAAAGATACTACAAAAGGAATACATAGCTTGGTAGAATGGAATTTCTACTTTTAGTTTTTTTGAGAAATCTCCACACCGATTTCCAAAGTAGTCATACTAATTTACATTCTTACCAACAAAATAGAAGGGTGCTTTCCCCCTACTCTACGCCTGGTAATGGTGAAAATTCTCGAAATCCAATTAGCTAAATGAACAGATTGCTCAGAATTTATGCATCTAAAAAATGAAACAAAAATGATACTGAGCTAGGTGTGGTGGAACATACCTACAATCCCAGCACTCAGGAGGCTGAGGCAAGACGATCTTTATGAAGAGTTCAAGACCAGCCTAAACCACATAGTAAAATCTTGTCTCAAAGGAAAAAAAGAAAATAAAAGAAAGACCTACCTTATTCAATGTTAGGTTAATAACTACTAGAATCATGACTAAAATATCCTATAGCTATTAATTATCTATCTTGCTGTCTAAAAGAAAGTCCTAATGTTTAAAAGTGGAATGCTGATTTTGTATGCAAATTAGAAAAGAGGAGCTCCTGAGAGGTGATTTGTTCTAGCAGAAAACTTAAAACATATTTCTAGGGCTCATAAACTATCACTTAACTCTACAGATAGCTGGTAGGAAAAAAACCTTACGAAACACCTTGAAAAGTACACCAAAAAATATTATAGACCTATCACTGTAAAAATTATTTTATATGTTAAAGCACTGCCTTACATTCATTCTGAGAGTGGGCAAAGTATATGTTATCAATGGAAGCTAAACACAGCATCCACAATCCTCACCAATGAAATAGAACTGTATTTCTGCTATGCTTTTAAAGCTGCTATGCCCCCAGAAGTCTTTCTTATTCAGAGGAAGGAACAGGAGCCTGGGGCACTATACTCATTACTGGATTCATCTACTGACTTTGGAGGTGGTCACCGGGTGTGCCCTGGAGGGGGGACTCTGGTCTGCTGCTCCTCTCTGCCCTCTCCTTCCTGGCTGCCATCGGATGAGCAGCGGTCCTCTGGCACTGCCTTCTTCCTGCCACACCCGACTAAGAGCCAGCCAAGCTTGGAATGAATCCTCTGAAAACGGGGCCAAAACAAATCTTTCCTCTTCCTTTATTCTTTAATCAGTTAAAGTCATTGGTACATTTTAGGTGTATACATAATGATCACATTGCTCACAGGGAATGTGTACTGTATATAATATAACTTGATTATATTTTTCCCAGTGGCCTCTCCTCCCTTCACCCCCAAGCCTTCGCTTCTCCTTTAAGTCGTGGGTGCTGAGTATGTTGTTCCAGCGTCTGGAAAAGTGACTAATACAATTTCCCACTGAAACACACAGCTATGTTTAAATGTGGGTTTATAATTATACGTGGTTCTCATTTTCATTTACAATATCCTGTCTTTCCAACCTGTGTTGACAAGACAAAAACACGAAGCCTTCAAGTCTATCACATTTAATTTTGTCTCTGCATATTCAAAATATTTGGGGGGTATAATTCTTATTCTTCATTTTTGCAGTGTTGGAGATTGAACCTGGGGCCTTGAGCATGCTAAACATGTGCTGTCTTTCTGAGTTATGGTCCCAGATCCTAAATGTTTTAAAATTAATAAACTTCAAAGGGAAAAGTCAAGTTGTAAAAAAAAAAAAAAAAAAAAAAAAAAAATATATATATATATATCTTCCTCCCATATCCTTCCAGAATGAGACAAAGTGCACCCTAGTTTTTAGGTGTGCTCTGCTCCCTAATGACATGACTTGACAGACGTTCTGCTGTCGTAAACATTTCTGAGACTGAAACACAAATATGTTCCTTAAAAACCAGAGTCAACAAAATGACAGGGATAGCTCTCATCCCCTGGCCTGCTGTAAGTGACCAGAGGAAGACAGACAGGCTGGGTGCCCAGGAACAGCAGTGGGAGGGAGGAGCAGTGGGAATGTCCCCCACAAAGAGCACCTCTGAGTGAGTGGAAATAACACTGGGTTAAAAGTCAAAATAGCTACATTCTTTTCCTGATCCTGCCTTTAACTAGTTTTCTGATCTGGGGAAAGCTACTTTATTTCTCTAATAAGGATCAAACTACCTATGCCCCAGGGCTGGTATTGAGGTCCAATAACATATACCAAAAAGTGCCCGACACATTTAATAAATACACATTTGCTTTCCTTTGTGGAAACTTCGCATTTCTATAAAATGTATAATTCAAATAACACAAAATTGGGGTGGGGAAGAAAATAAGATGCTCATAAGTTTTTTTTTAGCCCTTAACACCAAAGTGAGCCTTTGTGGTACAGGACCTCTATACAACACAGGGTTTGTACACAGGAGGGAGCCCTCCTTGAAGTGGCTGGCGACAGCTGCTTAGGTGGCAGCTGCAGTCCTGTGGCAGTGAGGGGCAGGCCTCAAAGGACCCCCCTACACATGTTATATATGTAAATAAGGGGTCCTGATAAATTTTTATAAGAATATTTTATAAGAGATTGAAATTAACTTTTACATTTTAAATGTACTCTTTCACTAAACATGAACCCAGCCTAGAACATAAGGTCTTGAAAGGTTCTACCGGAGACTATGAGGTCCTGAAATGGTCCACTCATAAGGTACCATGTCCACTGTCACAAAAACCATTAATGCCAGGTGAAGGCTTGGCTCGTAGCAGAATGACAATAAAATGGTCTATAAATACT